AGCCGCTGTCTTTGGAAGCACACCCTGCCAAAGGGAGGGCCCGGATCCACCCGCCCTCCCTGCTGCCTTCAGCAGGAGCTCAGCACTTCTGCCTGCCGTTGGGAATGTCGTGTCATTGCTTTGTGGAAAACCTCGAACAAGTTTAGCGCATAACAAAGTTGCTTCTCATTAATTAAAGAACTAAAATTTGCAGAATGTTGGTGCTGCAAATAGTGTTGCTTTAATGTAGTTGCTTCCATTGAAAAGGACGGAGGTTTGATTTGTATTAAGTCTAAATGCCATTTAACAACTAGCGCAAGCTACAATTCTACAGGAAAAAAATCCATTTTTCACATGCGTGACATTTGTGTGAGTTCGTGTAAAAACTTGTGGTGTTTTCATGACATCAAGAATATATTCAAATGCTGGAAATGGCAGGACACAATTGAAAAACATTACTGTGCTAATCTGTTCCTTTTATTAGTTTTATTTTCTTTGCTCATATGGGGCATTTAAAGTGCCAAGACAGGTTTTATTCCAATACTAAACATCCCATCATTTCAGTTAGAACTTAATTAGAACCTATGACCAATATTTTATTTCATAGTGAAATTGAGTAGATAATAATTTCTATCCTAGGCTTTATGAAAGGTTGCAATTTGATATATCAAGCCTACAGTTAGGTGGATTAAGCAGGTTATAAACAATAACATTCAGGTGGGCAGGACAATGGAGCCAGAAAGCTCCTGGGAATAGTGAAATACCCTCTTCATCTCCTGACATATGTTGGGGGGACCACTTACTTCTGCTTTATTAACCAGGAATAACCCTTGTGTTTTTTATATTGGACCTGGAAGCATCTGGGTGTTTTCAGCTCTCTTTAACTAAGGCAAAAATGGAGTGTCCAGCCCTTCTGATGGGGGCTCAGCATCTTGCTGGACCCCTGCTCCTAGTGCACAATGAGGGGGAGCCAATTCCTTCCTACCAGTTGCTCCTGCACAAAGCAGGATACAGTCTAGTCTATTTGTTAATCCATAACAGTCTGCCCAAAAGCTGTTTAGTGAAAAATATTGCGTGGTTTTGTATGCTTAAACTATCTCTGTCACTGCTAATATTTGCTGTTGCAAACTGTTACTGCACAGGTTATAATAGTATGGTTTGTCCAGTTGGCTGCTGATTTGTATGGTGAGTGACAGCTTTGGACAAAATCCAAACCCTACATTAATATTAATTTAAACTGATGTAAGTTAATCCAGAAGAAACAATAATCAGCAGTTAACAGCTGTAGTAAGCTGTCCACTCTAGCCATAGGATTTTCATTTCAAAGATGTTTCAGAGGCATTTGACATCACATGTTGTTTAGAGAAAGGGAATTAATTCTTTGTTGAGTTATACTTACGTTGAGGAAAAAAATACAGAAAAGTTATGGGCATGAAAGTGCTAAGAAGAAGTTAGTAAGGCTCTTTAACAGCTGTTTAATGTTTTTTTGTCACAGAAAATGAGAGGCTGTAATTAGAAAAGTTCTGAAAAAATATTCTGAATACTAATTTTATTTTGAATTAAGCATGTAGCATCACAGTATTTTTTATGAAACTGTAACTAAAGGAAGTTAATAACTGTGTAACCTGTTCACTTGGTGCGTTTACTTACTCCTATTAATTAAATGTACTTTGTATTGTGTGCCCCATTTATTACATTCTGTGTCATATTTGCTGTGACTGCCGGGGAAGGGTTATGATAAAGTCAGAGGCAATGAAGATGGGTCCTCATCTAACAGGTGCTCCACTCCTTTGTTCTTTGTATACACATATTCAAATCACATAAGGCAGGGGACAGGATAGGACCTGTTAACTCATTGCTGATTTCCCTAGCAAATAAACCAGCAGCTGCAGGTCCAAGCCCTGGCTTAGTGCAGAGAAGGTGGCATTTGTGTGGGACAGGATGCTTTCATGGAGCCCTTTAGCCAACTTATTTTGGGACTTACAGTGCAAACTGTATTTTCTGCTTGTAGGTAAGATACAGTATGAATTATATTTGATTGTTATTGTGTAAATGTTAATTGATTCTGTAAGATTTATCTTTATAAATTTAAAGATATTTCTGTTGTATTGTCAGATATTTGATTTCAGGAAGGTAGCCTAAAAGTTTTTCATCAGGTAGTGGCACCTTGTTTTATGAGTGAAGCTAAAGTTTTAGCAGCTGAACAAAAATGAATGCTATACACAATCTCTGTGTAAAACTTGGCATTGATTAAATATACATAATCTACATATAAAAAACATGTATATTGATTAAATATACTGTTACATTTTATTGAGTAACATATACATTGTGCATTCTTTTTAACAAGTAAGGCTGGACAGAAGCTTTGGCTGGCTTAGAAGCCAAAGATTATGCAGAAGCTGTTACACGCTTCTTTAAAAATTTATTGAGACAGCAGTGATACATTATTTTTCACTTCTTTATGATTAATTTATATGTATCTAAATATAATTGGTATTGAAACTGAATTGAGCTTTTAGTCAACTGAAGAATATCTCCCCATTAATAGTGCATTTGTTTGGTGTCTGAGTGCAGTTTTTGTAAGTGAGCATTTGTTACCCATGCAGTAGATAAAAAATAGATGTTCTATCTACTTTGACAGAAATATCCGGTGATCAAATGTTAGATAAACCTATTTCTGCAAACTACTGTAATTACCTTTTGCTATATTTGTTTTTGTAAATGTGAACAGAAGAAATATATAACAGTATAAATATAGTGCAACCTCTAATCTTTCATGTATAGGAACAACTTTTACCTTCTTTGTGAACCTCATAGTTCCAGCTTATTATAAAGTCACCTAGTTCCCTTGATTTTGAGCTTAATACTTTTCCAAGACTTTTGGCTTCATAATGATTGATGTTTTATATGATGGTTGTTGGATCTCTTCTTTAAAAATGAAAATTATTTGGTCAATAAAAAACAGTGACTTTGTGCTTTATCTACTTCACCACTTTATTGGATACTTTTCAATGAAATCCTACAAGAGTTATTGTGATGCAAGCGGAATGCTTTAGGGTACAGGTTTATTCACCAGGAAGTCTTACATCCTTACCCTGATATACACATTTTCTAGTAAGGGAAATGTGCTGCTCATATTTCATATCATGATGGGATTCAGGTGCATTGGAGACATGACACAAAGGCCACTGAAGGCATTGACCTCAGCAAATAAAATTAAGCCCTGTAACAAAGCTCAGTGGAACTTTTATCTTGGGCAAAAATCCCAATCCAGGGAAGAGTATGCCCAGGTTTTCCATTATATAAATGGAGGTATAGAAATTGCAGCTTTCCTGGACTGTTACATCTGGGTTTTTCCCACAAATAAACATACTTGTAAAAAGGAAAAAAAAAATATTTCACTGATCTAGTGACATTTTGCACCAAGTTCAGGAGAGCTGAAGAGCTAAATAAACACTCTGTAAAAAGCAGTTGAGAATCCAAACTCACTTTGACAAGGAGATGTGTATGTGAAATTCAGAAAATGCTAAAACCTTGCTAGACAGGTTTCAGTTTATGCCATAAACTCAAAAGTTATGTCATAGTTTTTTATTTAAACTAAAACTGCAGCCCTTGTTTTATGTCAACAACAATTCTGTTGTGCTTGCTAATACTGGGGATAGCAAAGTGAGATGGAAGCAAAGCACAGATCACTGAGCTCCAAATGGAGGTCATTGTGGTTCAGCCCTTACGATCATGATACAAAAATTAGGTTTTGGAATGACATCATATTGGAAAAAGGTGTATTATATTTGCAAAGCTGTAGGGATAGGCTTAAATTTTATGGAATTTGGGCCTGATAAATATGAATTTAGTTTGACACAAAGGCTTGATTTTGCTGTTAACATTAATTCAAGGATTAGTCGTAACAGTCTGCAGTTTAAATTAAAAATCAAAACTAGTCTAATACAAGTGAATCATAGAACCCTTTAGGCTGGGGAAGACCCTAAAGAGCATCAAGTGCAGCCATAAACCTAACACTGCCAATTCCACCATTGAAGCATGTTCCTGAGTGCCACATCTACACATCTTTGAAGTAACCCCCCCAGGGAGGGTGACTCTACCGCTTCCCTGGGTGTCCCATTCCAATGCCTGGCAGCACTTTTGGTGAAGCAGATAACCCTCTCAATAAAGAATATTCCAGATTGCAGAATATATGATCTCTGCTGAAGCCAGAATACTTTCATCACTGCTCCTGTAAAACACTTGCCTTTGACAGAACACCATTATCTTATAATTTGCCCCGGCTTCAGCCTGCCTTCTCCCTTGCCCTACCAGCATGGGGAAGCTCCTGTGGGATGTTGGCACTCCACAAAATCACCCCAGGAAATCCAGAGAGAGCAACAAGAACTGGAGTTATGCAAAGCCACTCCTGAAGGGACTGAGGGGAAAATGGGGTTTCTGCCCTCACCACCTCTGGTCCTAGCTTAAAGAATTTCCTTAATTGCAGATCAAAATATCTTTCCATGACATTACACAGAGCCAATTTTCCCTGTGAATCAAGTGGAACAAAGTTAATTTGCATTTTCTATTCCAACAGTTTTTAGCTGCAAAGAAAGTAAGATTTCCAGCCCTGATTCTCTTTTCGGTATTATGCTGTTACCTTCCATACTTGTGGTTCCATGTTTCCTGGTGCTCACAAGACTGGCTTAGGTTATGCTAAGTTTTTTTCACAAACAGATCTATGAGAAATATTTGTTTTCCCTATTTTATGATTGCACTGCTTTTGCTATTGACATGTTGTCCCACAGCACAATCACCTACTGACAGCTAAATAAACCCAAAAACTGAACAGCATCATACTTAAAGAATGAGTAAGTATATGGACAGATCTTTTAATTACAGGTCTATCTATTTGAGAAATGGTTTTGACTTTATTCCAGTTGATCTAAAAAATGAAATGAGTGGTTATATAATTGATAGGTTATATGAAATAGATCTTCAGCATTAAATATTTGATGAAGGATTCTGTTGAGGAGTTACTCGCTTCTTCAAGTGGACAACAGCAGTTTAAATCTGATTAGTACTGTATTATTGTCAGGGAGCATATTGATGTCTGAGAAGAGTTAGAACAACCAACAAAATACTTAATGTCCTGTTAACCAGAGTCTAGCAAGCCTTGAAGAGTTGTGCAGTGTTAGAAAATTGCAAGAACAGCAGGTTACGATTACTGTTAAAAAAGGGTAGGGGAGCATGCTTCCATTTGATGTGCATCATCCATTTTAGGTTTTTCATCTAGAAAGTTAAGCATGCAAAAATCTGTGTCCTAGGAATCCTCCACTTAAGCCATTCCACATTTTTCTACACTCTTCCTCTTCTTTTTTTTACCCTGTTTTCCTTCTATCTCAGCTGAACCCCAGCCAGTCCTTGCAAATTGAAGTCCATGTAGCCTGAAGCCCTCTGCCTGCTTCCTCCTTAGCCCCCATTAATGAGGGCTTGCCAGACTTTCTGTCAAAGGATTTCACTGTCTTTTTGTAGATTTCCCTGTTAGTATTCTGCAGCATTTTCCTTTGGCTTCCCTGCCATGCCTTCAGAAATGCTGTGAGCTGTCTTTAGCTGAGTGTAATATTGCTCAGATTCATGAAAAAGTAAGCCAGCCACAAAATTACTTTTTTGGGGTGGATTCTGTAAGCATTGCTGGCTACCCATGAGCCAATCCACTCACAGTCCATCTCCGCTCTGCTACTTTGCACACCCTTCCCGAGTACCTCTGACATTAATTACTGGCATTACTGCATCATTGTGTAACCATTTCCCCCTTTTTGTGTCCCTACCCTCATGCCCACAGGTTTTCTTTGCAATTACCTCGTGGAAAACAACTGTGCACTGAAATTTGATGATTCTAACTCAAAAGACATGTACGGATACCACATTATGTGACTGAATTGATTTTTTTTCTGTCACATAACTTAGGAAATTAGACATAAATGAACCTTTACTGACTACTGTTGTAAAGAATAATGATATGAAAGAAGGAAATTTAAGAAACAAAGTTAACTCTGCATTGTATTAATGAGCACAGTCACATGCTTTTCATACATTGCTCCTTCTGCCCTCCCCTACCCACCCAGGTAGAAACACATTCCATGTACATCAGCTGAGAAGTTACTTTTTCATTACAGGTATCTGGAAGCATGTCAAGAATCGGAGAATCTCAGGTTTGATGGACCTCAAGGTTCATCATGTCCAATCAAAAATGATCATTAGCAGGAAGAGAATAGATGGTACGATGTTGAGGGCAGTGCATTCTCAGTGTCTTCTTATGCAGTAGCAGATGGGTTACTTAAATCATAGTTTTTACATTTTTTACTTATAAGAGGTTGCCTTTTTCGTAGGGTGTTTTAAAACTTGCAGCATGCTTTCCAGCAGTATTGAGCACAAATCTGAGCAAACCTGCAACTTGAGTCAATTGGAGTTGCATCTTGAACATACTAATATGTTTTTGTATGTATTTTGAAAAACTGTGTCCTTAATGTTTCAAACTGATCATCAAAAATGAGTCTGTAATTTTGCTGTTCATTTCTCTGGGCTTAAATCCTTCATCTCTAAAGTCCTATCAGTTAAAATGGTGTTGTGAGATCTGTTCATTAATGTCAATTCTTTACATTGTTGCTGTTCTCATGAGCGCTGTGGAAAAGTTAGTTTGCAAATCAATCACTTAGTCCCAAGACTAAAGCTTTAATAGTGTTTTATAAATACGTCTTAGGCCAGCACAAGGAAAAATTATTTTAAGAAACATATGGGAAATGGATGTGGAGTGGCCTTTTTGCACCATAACAGAGACAGAATTCTTGGAAAGCAGTATTAATCATGTGGCTGAAAATTTCACTTTTGTGAATATTAACAGCAAAGCTGAATTCTGCCAATTCCCTAAGATTGGAATACTTGACTTTTGCAAGCTTTGTATTGTTTCTTGAATTTAGTCTTAATTAGCTATTACCATGCAAAAACTGTAAATTTTAGCCTTGAGAGTTTTTTCACTGTGAGAATTTCTCATTTGAGTTTCCATTTGTGTTTTGGGTTTGTTTATTTGTTTGTTCTTTCATTTTTGTGCAGGGATTTGTTCTGCCTTAAAATTGACAGTACCATCTCATACTATCCATGGTATTGAGGGGCAGCCACTTCATCTTTCTGTTGACTATGATTTCAATGCTACAGCTTCTGAAATCCAGATAATTTGGCTTTTTGAGAGGTCTCAAAGTAACCCAAAATACTTGCTTGGCTCTGTAAATCAAAGAGTAGTTCCAGACTTGGAATACCAGCACAAATTCACCCTTGTACCACCAAATGCATCTTTGAGGATTAATCCATTGCATCTCAGTGATGAAGGCAACTACATTGTAAAAGTCAATGTCCATGGAAATGGGACCATAGCTGCAAGTGAAAAGATTCAAGTAGCTGTTGATGGTAAGTTAGTAAAAGATAGTATCTTCATTTTAAAAATAAAATTACAATAGTTTTGAAGTCCTGGTTCTTAGTATCCAGTTACAGTGGTGTCCCATTTTATGCAACCATACATGAGTAAATGCTAACAATTAAGTTGTGTTGTTTTCTACCACTGCTGGAGGGAATACTAAAATATGTCATCTTTATGCGAAGTTAATATATTGACTGATGTTTCTATATCATAAGTAAAAAACTGAAGAAGTATAGAAACACTTAATATGAAATTAGACAGACTTCTAAAAAAATAAGATTTTATAAGTTTCTGTTGTGCTATCATGAGGATGCTTTGAATTTCAAATAGTATTTTCCTCTGAACAACTTTACCTCCTGTATCAAAGAGGAGCCATTAATTTTTGCTGTAATTTATGGATTATACAGAGGGAACCCTGTAACTATTAGCCTTGGAAGGAATGAGATGAATGATAACTTGAGGTGATAAAGCTGTAGCTGCCATTTAACTCCCAAACCAGTCTGTCCCAGTCTGCAGATATCCTCATGACAAATCGCCCAGATTTTAGTGGTGCCCAGTGTGGGAAAAGGTGTGGGCAGTCATGCTGAGAGGTCACACACAGTGGGCAGTGCCATGCTTCGTGCTCTTTTCATTTCTTTGGACTCAGTGATTTGTATATGAGGCAAGACATAGTGGTACACATGACTGTACCCCTTACCATCTTACCAGTAATATAAACAGTCTGGTTTTATTTATGTTTCATAACAATTCTTACAGTCACCAGCTGAGAATATGGCTGAGAAAATTATTTTTTTAACCTTCAACTGCAAGGGATAAAATTAGAAGTATTAGTAATTTCCAGAGAGAATGATGATTGCTATTTGAATGGTCTTGACCATGAAGACTGTAATATAATGGCTTGTCACTTTAACAACTCTTCATATGTGTTTATTTTACAGTTCCAGTCACAAAGCCAACTGTACATACTGAACCATCTTCAGGAGTAGTGGAGTATGTAGGGAATATTACCCTAAAATGTACTGTGGATAGAGGTACAAGGGTAGCTTACCAGTGGATGAAAAATGGGAAACGTCTTCATGCTGGCCCTAATTATACCTTTTCATCAAACAATGCTACACTTCTAATTGTTCCTGTGGTAAAAGAAGACATTGGGAATTACAGCTGTCTGGTATCTAACCCTGTCAGTGCAATGGAAAGTGAGATAATTGCACCAACCATATATTGTGAGTATATGAAATATTTATTGTTATCTTTGTATGAATGATTTTGCTGGAAGGTGTGCCTCCAACTAAGAAAACAGGCAGAAAACAGTTGAGTCAACATTGTATGTGAGCTTGCATTCAGAATGAGTTTGTTTGTAATAGCTCTAACTTAAAACGGGATAAAAAAATTATTCGGTGTTGCATAGATGTGAAGATCAGTCTCATCTGCAGAATTCAAATAGAAACTTCAAGATTTCCTCAGATGTCTTCAGATGTGACTCAAAGGAAAAAAATAATGAGATCATTATACATGAAAATGTTGCTATAAATGGAGACACCAAATAGTATCAAAAAGCTAAACACAGGATATACCAGGTCGAAGGACTGGTATTAGTGGATTTCCTCAAGATCATTTCAAGTACCGTCCTTTTTAATACTTCCATTAATGGCACCAGAAAGAAGACAGGGAGTATCTCAATGAAGTTCATTTACGACATTAAATAGGAGGACTCAATGACCTTGACAGAGTAATAGAGCTGGGATGAAATTTCCTATAAAAAAAGTAAAAGGGCATGCCCTTTCAGAGAATAAAAAACATGAACTTCTGCTGATAAGATCAAGATTGATTAGAAAATATCAAGGCACTGAGCCTAGATGATTGAGCTATCACTAGATATCTATGAACTAACAGCATGATTCAGGCATGAAAAAGACATATTTAATTCTAGGGGAGTGGGCAATGGATTTCCAATGAGGAAACAAGGGGAATGCTGATGGCACACAGAAGATAATACCACATGTACAGTACTTCATGCAGTCCCTGCAGATCCCAGAATGCTGATCTTGAACTGGAAAAAAAAGAAAGACAGGAATGGAGAAGAGACACAGAGACCTCAGTCAGGCTTAACAAAATTACAGCTGAAAGAAATGATTGCATTCCACATCAAACAGGAAATATGAGGGAGCAAGAGTTGCATAAAGACCATTTTTTACAGAAGAATAAACCATAAGGTAGCAAGGTATTTTTACTTGAAATTAAGGCACCTGAGTAATTAAATGAGTTGGAGGAAACAAAAGATTGATTTAATCACCATTCAACAATTATACGATAAATCTTAGGGCCTTGTCATTTTGGTCCATATCAGAAATTCCCAGTGCCTCCTCAGTTTTCAAGTAGCACATGCTACATGTACATGACCTGCTATGCTCTAATCCTCATGTCCTCAGGGGTTGAATTATCCTTCTCAGAGGAGAGCTGAAATTTGAAAGGCCAGGACCTACTTTGCCACCAGTCCTGTTCAGATCCAGCCAGTTTACCCAGTGGGCCAGTCTGGAAGGAACACTGCAAGGACTGGAACTGGATTCCTGTCCAGCCAAGGGCTGGTGTACATTCCTGCTTTCTCCAGGCTCTGGCAGCTGGTAGGCCGTCCATGCTCAACTTGTTGTGACTGCACTACCAATATATTCGGAACCTACATCTCCTACATCTCTAGCTTTCATATTTTCCTCCTCCTCCTTTCATCTCCTTTCATCTCTCATTATCTATGCTTCTAGTTGTTCGGGGTTTTTTGTTATAATTTGGAAAATTTGGATAAGGGGATGACTTGCATCTAAAGAATGGGGGGCAGGGGGTGGTCTCTACACTGCACCAGGAAAAGAGAAAAAGACTGCCTAAGTTAGCAAAGATTAACAGGGACATTGTTAGTTATGAGCTGGTATAAGCTTATGTGTAGCTTATAAAATTGACAGCAGTGCAGACTTGAAGAAGCAGTTGAAAAGACTCCTGAACAGGGAAAATATTAATTGAGCTTCCATTTCATTAGACAGAGGAGTTATTACAAACTAGGAAATTACCAGCATTGATAAAGCTTTAATTTATCATTACTGTATTTAAAAAACAAAAACAAAACCAACACATTCTTTCAATAAGGTACCACGTTTTTATATACCTGCTTTTGTAGTCACAATCTCAGCTCACTTATGTGCTTAAAGTGCTAAGAATGAGACCTGAAGGTGTATAAATGCAGTTCCTCTACTTCGCTTCTCTTTAATGAGCTGTGAATTGCCCTTATACAGGTCTGTCCTCAAATAATACACAGAACTTGGCAGCCAGCTGTATCCAGTCTGACAGCCTTATTTCCATGCAATAAAGTCGGGTCAGGCTAGAAAAATATCTGCCCACTCTTGCTACCTTTCAGACAACTCTGTTGCACAGCCGTGTGAGATTTGAATTTCTGACCTGTTACACATAGGATTGTCTCCAAAGCACTGGTCGCACTGACAGGTGTCTGGGACACTTGCTCTGACATGTGTACCCTTCAGTCCCAGCTCTGGTACTGCTTCTTCCCTTCTTCCTCACCTAATTACACACATTTTTGTGTGTAAATTTGAAAAATCTTTCCAAGTTCTAAACTAGAAAGCTGGTTTTGACCTATTGTTTACCAGAATTTTAAAATCTCAAAGCAACTTAAGTATCCACATTTCTTGAATCTTTTGCTGATTAAATGGTTGTGATATACAGCTCTATCAAAAACCTTGAGATTAACTTTTTCTCCATGTGTGTAAATATTATTGTATATGCATTTTCAGAATATCCTTCATCAGAACTGAGGGTATGCTTTGTGCATAATACAAAATCTGAAAAAAAATATTAAGAGCAAACAACGCAACTCTGAAAGACTGCAAATATCTGTGGTATTCTCTATATCCAAGTCAATGACGGGAATTGGGGTCTTCCTGAGCTATATGAAGTCACCTAATTTGGTTCAACCTCTGCCTGCAGAAGTGCTTTGTCTCCCAGCTCCTGGTTGTCAATAACAATCCAGAGCAGGCCCCGGGATCTCTCTCTGCCATATGTCATTGCCGTGGGGGAGTTACTGGAGGTGATAAAGAAAAGGTCACTCACGGTAAATACCTGCCATCTGCTTGGAAACTGTAACTGTCTCGTAGTGATAGGAGCAATTGGAAATACTCCCACAGAGCAGTAAATTGTAACTCAGAAGGATTGATTTATTATTTTACACGTCATTTAGTTAACTGGTTTTACTAAGGCAAGAGGCAGTTTTCTGTAGAGAATACTGGAGAGGGAAACTAGAGCTGAGGGATCCACGAAGGCTGTCATTGTGGGTTTTTACTATGAAAAGTGGTTTTTAATTCATGTCTTATTAATATTATCCCACTTCTCCATTAGTTATGATGATAATGCAGCCTGGAACATGGCTATTGCAGTCATGTGGCTCAGAAACAAATTATTTCAAGTCTGGAAGAAGCTGCTGTCCTGTAGGCTGCAGCAGACACCATTGTACTGTGTTGATGGAGTTGAACTCAGCAGACTAAGTGGGATTTTCTTCCTCAAGTCTTCCAAAAGATAGAATATACTTAGTACTAGGGAGAGAATGGTTAATTTCCTGCTTTTCAGAATCATCCTTGAAGCTGTGTATATCTGTCAGTTACCCATTGTTTAGGGACCCTGATGTGCATGATGCCCAGGAGTGGCAAAATACTGCTCCAGGCAAAGCAGAAGGATTACCCAATCCTTGTGTTGGTTTCAGCAGGGGGTGCCACTCTCCAGATTTTGCCAAAATCTGGCAATTTCTTAAGATAACCTCTCGGCTTTTTTCAAACTTACTTCCCCAGCCAGCGTGTGTCAGTGTTTGTATAATGATCTCTTTCAACTTGCAGCTTTCATTAAAATGCAGTTCTCACTGTTCTCTCTTTATGCTGCACAGTTATGTTAATGATGAAAAGCAGAACTCCGTTCTGATTCTTCTGCAGATTGTGGCAAACCACCCACTACAGTAAGGAGAACATGGAAACCACTCAGCTCTTCTTGCCATTAATCCCTGTTAACACATGTCAAAGTCATATTATCCATGAAAATAAGAACTAATTTTCCTAAGAATGGAGAACTGGATTGGAAGAACCACTAAATTGCTTTGAAAAGTAAAAAAAAAAAATAGTATGTTCCTGCCTATAAATAACTTGTGAGGGGCTTTATTTTATTCATGAAAAATGTCAAAGGCAGGTACATCCCTTCTCATTTCAGACCTAAAAAATAGGGAAGTAAATACCTGTAAGAGGTGGGCCCCTGTGGAAAGCTCCCCTTCCACAGAAACATGCAGCTGAAGTGAGGCCAGCCATACCAAAATAGTGGGATATAGGTCTGTACTTCACACTAATGGTCATTACAGGATCAGCTGACTCTTGGAGACAATAAAGCAAGTGACTCAGGAACTGCAGAGCCTGTGAGGAAGGAGCCCAGAATCTAGAACTTAAAGAAAAGCCATGATTCTTCAGAGTGGCCACTGTAATGTAGGTGGGAACAGCACTGATCCATGATGAAGTGAATTTGTATTTCATTTCCCAAGTAATTATGCATGATGTTGGCCATTCCTTAAAATGAGACAGCAAAACGATTACCACTAGGAAATAAGTAGAGAAAATTAAAATATTGACAAGTTTATGTTGTGAAATATGGATATTTACCTAAAAGCAGACTAAATGGAGGTCATGTGTGGTGGTCTATAGTCTCTTGTCTAAGCCTGAACAGGAAAAAACAGAGAGGTGCACACAAAATGGATTGTACTGTATGCTGGTGGCTTAGGTGTTCTTGAAAAATAATGAGTTTCATAAAAAAAGACAAAGACTAAAAGAGAACGTTCTAACATTACCCTGAATTTCCTGGTGGGAAATAAAGTCTGAAATATACCAGTGTGCAGCTTCATGTAGCAGGGATTTTCCCATTCGAACCCAGCTACATTATCTTAATTCTTCCAGCAACCACAGAAAGGTGGAAATATTACTAGATTCCACTGTCTGCAATGGGCACAGTATTGTGCCCATTTTGTGCTACACCATTTTGTACGAGACAGCTTCATTGACCTTCAAGGATCATACCAAAAAGATATTCTGCATATTTTCTTCTTTGGCTCTGTACCTTTTTGATTATTCATGTAAGTCCTCAGGGAATTAACATTAAAATGATTGGGGTTTGTTTTTTTGGTTTTTTTTAACTAGAAAAAGTTATTTAATAAGGCACACTTTGATTATTATATTCTCTACATTAATTTCTATACTTAAATAACTGTAAAAATAATTTTAACGTGTAAAGATGTAAAAGCCGCAATGATCTGAAATGTTCTAGTAAAAACAGCATGAGAAATATTCTTCTAATATTTCAGTCAAATATATTGCATTTTATGCAATATTAGTAATATACAAAACACTAGGGCACAGAAAATGTATTGGGAAGTAGATCAATTGTTTACAATTAATAAAAAAGAACAAGAGTTTTAAGAAACTTTCTTGATGCATCTGGACTTGCCAGTTATTAAACAGAATTAAATTCGCTTCCAGTGACAAAGGCAAGAATCCCATGGAACAATGGATTCTTCTGCCTGCCTCCTACATCCCTTCCAGTTTTAAGTATATTGTTTCTCTTCTCATTTTCTATGCAGGTTACACTAAAAATACTCATCTGCTAAATTTTAATGTAATGAACACATGACTATAGAGCAACATATGCTTCTTCTAACTATATTCAGAAAAACGACTTTCAGCACAAGAACTTGCACTTGAAAAAAGAATAATTACAGTAGTAACTATTTAAGTATTTTAAATTATTTAATTAAAATATTCTCTAATTATTTAAAGTATTATTTAGTGGTACAAACCTACTACGATGGGACATTCTAGCAGTCATTTATGGAAAAATTGTTCTGAACTTAAATGAGGCACACCCCACTCAATATTATATCTGTAAATTAGTTCCCTAAATAATTATTATACTGTAAATTATTGCAGTGGAGGTAACATTACAAGGCAAATTTGTTCACTTCTAAATTTGTAGGAAAATTACTTATGCCAGTAAGTTTGGCACTGAAATAGAAAATCAGATATGATCCTGAAGAAGACGTGCTCTTTATTTCATAGAAATCCACCTGATTTCAGTTTTTATTCTTTTTATCATGATGAGAAATACCTAGACCATGCTTTTCTTTAAACAACAATTAGACCAGTATTAAGTGGGTGTAGCCTGAGCTAAGCCTAGCACAGATCCAGTTATTGAACTGAAAGCCTTTTCATTGAAATGACTGAATGCTAGCCATTCTAAAGGCTAGTCTAACTTAGAATATTCTAACTTTAGAGATACACTTCTGATTAAATTTTAATCATATACATTGATTTTAATTTTCTCATTTTATTTCCCTTTTTTTCCAATGCAGATGGACCTTATGGACTTAGAGTCAAATCAGACAAAGGTCTGAATATAGGAGCAGTGTTTACAGTTGACGTGGGGGAAGTTGTACTGTTCGCCTGCTCAGCAGATTCAAATCCACCAAACACTTATTCATGGATTCAAAGGGATGACAATACCACTCAAGTAATCAAGTATGGACCCCATCTGGAAGTTGTGTCTGATCAAGTGGCCCAGAAGACAATAGATTACATGTGCTGTGCTTTCAACAATGTGACTGGGAGACGAGATGAAACTCACTTCACAGTTGTTGTTATGTCTGTAGGTAAGAATGTAACTTCATTGCTATAAAGTGTAACATCTGAGTGGAGCGTCAGCCCCAGAAAAAGGAAGTCATTTTTAGAATATGTATCAAAATTTAGGTCTTGCTAAGAATATAGTAAAGGGGCTTTTGGACATTATGTGGGATACAGGTTTTACTTGCAGTATGACACAACTTGGAACACAAACCACTAAGACACTGAAGTTTTGTGGCATTTTATTACAGTGTTCATGTAAATTATTTTCTTGTCATATTTATGGATCTCTGGATTGATTGATAGAGCCTGAAGAACACAAATCTTTATTTCTCATACACTATAACCTCAGCTCCTGTAGAGTTGTGTTCAATGGCAACAAAGCAGTTTTTCAGAAAATCTCCAGAAGAATAGAGCAAAGAACAAGATATCGAGGAAGTCTGATATCTCTTCTCAATACAGATGGCTACAAGTATTTCCAGATAAGGAACATATGCTATTAATGTTCAACGAGGTAGATTAGATTGCCTGTTAGAAAATTTAACAAAGCAGATTCACTTGTGCTGAGCAAAGAGCTAACAAATTTGTTAGTCTGGTAAACAAGAAGAGATGTCCATGATTCAGGCTATTTACTGATTCATCGTGAATCCAGGGCTTTCAGTATGCTGGAAGATAGGTTGCAATTTCATAGTAAGAATACTGCACTCAAAAACCAAATATTGTGGTTAGTGGTGAAAGAAAATGCAACCAGAACTATGTATCAATAGAAATAAACATGACCTTTCTCTAGGAAGTTTACGTAAGATATGATATTCAGCTTATATTTCCTTTCAAAGGCCAAAAGGGAGGGAAGACTCCACAGCTTCATGTTTAGTTGCACTTAAAATAATAGATTTCCTAATTACAAATGTTTTACTTAAATCTTGTTAAAACATTTTATCCTGTGTATTTAAAAATATAAAAAGAAATTTTTCCCCCTCTGCAGCCATTTTCTTGAAGAGTGTTTATTCAAATAGCACTAAACGGAGATGTCAAGGCTATACTTTGCGGAGCAGCACTGACTGCTTCCAGGAGAGATTAATTCACACACAGTTCATTCTCAGTGATGCTGCTCAGGCTAAATTCTTATTGCAACTGAATAAACATACTAAGCAAAGACTATGAATATTGTCCATATTCCTTTTCCTTACCACCATAATCCTAGATACAGAGCCTGGACTACGGCACTCAAAGTATGGAAACTGCATTTTCAGTAGCAACAGGAACTGATCTTTCAGAAGACCTTACACAACTACCCCATGGGAAAGAAACTCACATATGTGGTGCTATAGACAGCTGCCTAATTAATCCTAAAAATCATCAAGAAAACATTTTAATAAGCTACAATTATATCAATAGTTGCACTAAGTTCAGCCAAGGTTCTAAAATAAGACTCATGTACACCAATCATTGCTCAGGTTACAAGGTTATTCAGCTTGAGTGTGTTAAATGCATGCAAAGAGCATGTCTTTGGTTTCTACACTGCACTCCACATCTATGGAGATGTGATTTTTTGAGTCTAAATTTGAAATTACTCACTTTAAATAATAATTTTAAGGACTCATCTGGTTCTCCAGCATTTGGGCTTTTTCTTCCTAAGGAAAGCAGTACACCAAAGGACTATTAAAAAAAAAATCAGTGAAATTGCAGTGATTTATTTTCCCGTGTCTTTAGGACACATCTGGCTAGAAATCCTCATGTTTAATCTCCATGAAAACCACTGCACATGTAGCCAGCACAATGCCAGTGAATTACATGGAGGTGTAAGTAGGTGTAAGCAGTTCTAGCCCTCTGCAGAGGAGTTCATCAACTACTGGAAACACATCCAGCTAAATAATACACATTCAATTGTACTAATAAATCTGGCACTAGCAAATACACAACATTGATTTTCCTGTATGGATTGTGACATGTCCTTTAATTATATTAATTCTGCACAATTCAGAGCAAAAGGAGAAAATTAAGAGTGCACAAACAAATATGTCTGGCACTTCCTAACTTTCACATTCTTATCTTTGTCAATTCACTACAAATGTTTCCCTTGTGCTTTTACGTATGTAATTATATGCAATTTGTGTTTGTGTTGTATCAGAAAATCCTGCTGGAAAAGTCCTGCTAATGCATATCCTAGCAAAAGACCTGAGCAAAGGAAAGAAATATTTTGAATATATTTAGAAATGAATGCAAACAATATGGTGGAGTCACCATCCTTGGATGTGTTTAAGGAAAGACTGGACATGGAATTTAGTGCCATGTTGATCTTTGGTCATAGGTTGGACTTGATGGTCTCAGAGGTCTTTTGCAGCCTAATTGATTCTGTGATTCTGTGATAATTTATTGGTTTCTGATGCGGTTTGATAAACAACCAGACTGTCAGTAATCTAAAAATCTTTAGAAAAAGTCTAATGAATCTTTTGTCCTCTCCTGCTCTATAGCTGCTATTACTAGGAGGCTTTCCCTCCAATCTAGCACAAGTTGGTCCCTCACCCTTTTTTTTTTTGGTAGTTCAGTGTCTCTATACCTCAAGTTATAATATGCATCTTCTTTTTGTGATGTTGTAATTTTTTGATTACACTTACTGACTTTCATTTGGCTCTAGGCACTAATCTGCTTTGAAGTCTTTACTGATATGCATATCATGGATTTTTCAATTCAGGAGATCTGTGGGGAAAAATAAATATTACCCATTCACAAGACCCACATTTTGCATGTTTTGTATCTCTATGCAGGTTTACTAGATTCAGAATAATTTTTAAAAGTGCATTTTTCAGTGTCATTGTAGCACATAGTAAAGAACAAGGAACTAAATACAGTACTCATCTTCTTTGTCACAGGGTTGGAAAAGCTGGCCCAGAAAGGAAAATCTTTGTCTTCTCTTGCAGTAATAACAGGAATTTCATTATTTTTGATCCTAGCTATGGCCTTTTTATTTCTATGGAAAAGATATCGGCCACATAAAGGTATGTAAAAGTTAAGCACAGCTTGGCTCTTCTTTTGGACCGTCGGAGCAAAAACAATAATTTTTTTCTTCTTCTTCTTTTCAGTGATACAACAGAAGCTACAGAGCAGGTAGAAAAATAATTCATCTTAAATATAAAAGTACTTTCCATCCAGAGAAGTGCATTTTATCATATTTTTTTTTTTCTTTGGCTTATGTTGTCAAACTGAGAAACACGTTTATGTTTTCTAGGGCAGAGGCTGATTACAGAAAGGCACAGGCATTTTCAGGTAATGGTAATGAAATAAGTGTGATATAAGGTCAAAGTCCATTCCTGGAAAAGAAAAACAGCATCCCCACATACTGAAAAAAAAAAATAAAGGGAAAGGAATAAAAGTATGTTTTTATGTTGGGTTGCACACCTCTATGATAGCTTAATTAAGATAAGACCTAAATGAGAAGTCAGCATGGGTTTAGCTCATGCCTGGAGCTCATAGCAGTATGTACTGTTGTCTTGAATTCTACCTTTTAATCCTGGTATTCTGGGATTGGAATACCTGTATTCCACTGTTGCCACCAATATGACTTAAATCAGTGTTATTCTGGACTAGCAGTAAGAGGTGATACACCATGGGAGGATTTTAAGTGAAAATATTCATGATATCAATTGTTATCAAAATAATTGAGTTAATGACATTGCAGTATACATATATAACCTTCTACCATATTCTGTACTGCTTTTTCTCAGTTTTACCAGGACCCAGAGTGGTTTTTTTCACTGCCTCTTTTCCCTTCACAATTCTTCCCTCATGATCCTAGGCAGGAGATGCTAGAGACCAGCCATCCCTTGGAAAGATACCACTTTTATTCCCATTCCTTTCTACCAAAGCATCAGAGCAGACCACAAACTGCTACATGCACAAGGATAGGGATGTATATGAAGCTTAGGAAGGTAGGACATTCACTTGAGCACAGAGGGTCCGTCAAAATCAGCACACCAGCTCTGCAGCTGTCCTGCCTTGCCCCACACCAGTTTAGGAGCTTGGCAGGGAAGTGGTCTAAAGTAGATCACATAAACAGTGTTTGGGTGTTTTAAAAATTAGGGCAAAATACCTTGCCCATTATTTTCCAGGTTCATATTACATCTCTTTTTTTAATCTTTGTTCTAACTTCAGGACATGAAAGTGCTTTGGATGATTTTGGGATATATGAGTTCATCACTTTTCCAGATCTTACCAGTGGTTCTAGGGTATGTGATTTTATATCATAAACAGACTATTTCTCTTCTATTTCTCTAGGTGTACTAAATATCTGTACCAGAGTCCTTCTGTAGGTTTGCTTCTGTTGCTTTTTATGAAGATCTGTATGACACCATATTCATGGTTATTGTTTACCCAGTACTTGCTCTTTCTTTCCTGTGTTACTAGTTCAGTACTTCATAATAAACATAGTGAAGTAAGGAATAACCAAGCTCTAAAGACAGCAATCTCCATTCAAATACCCTATATTAAAGGAATATTAAAAGAATATTAGTATTGTTGGGTAATTGTGTAGCACTGAACCACTTGTGTCACACAGGCAAGCGTACTATTGGGATGCCATTTTCTCCCTTGACCCTAATATTTCTGCTCATGCAACATTCAGCCCTGGCAGTGCAGAAAGGTCTCAGGGGGTTATTTAAAGTGTAAATGTAAGGTAAGTCTCAGATGTATTTCACCAAAATAATTTTTTTGTTTGTTTCATGTATTGTGGAGAGGAGTTAAGCAAAGAAATTTTGCTAGCAGAAAAAAATCCTGCAACCTTTGCTGCTTCCTTGCATTGTGTCTTTGCTGACATTACTGCATAGCAGTTGGAGATCCTTGTGATATGGTGTAAAAGGACAATGAAAAAAAATCAAAAGGGCCATGAAATTTAGGGGCAATGGTAAAACTGGGAGGAAATAGAAGAAATACTTTCCCTCTGCTTGGGAAAATTTCCAGCAATGTAATCTTGTACCTTTGAAGAGCATCAATGTAATCTTGTACCTTTGAAGAGTATCAGTCTGGTCAGGTAAGGGAGAGCTCTTAAAGTGTGGTCACAGGGTCACATTTTCACACCTGATTTGTTTTTATGATTAGTACTCATATGATGTAAAAAAACAGTCATAGATTATATTTTATCTTCTCTGATGGAGTTAGATGTTTGAAATACACATTTATAGGGCTAAAGTGCTGCCACAAATGTTGGTGGAGAGGAAAGACTTTTACAGCAGCAGAGATAAAAGACTTTTGGAAAAGCTGAACTGCTTCTGTTACAGTTTGTGCCAGTAAGAGGCTTATTAAGTTTAGAGATCAGGCCCTATATCATTACAGCTTTAAGCACACTGTGATATTATACTGAAGAGGGTACATTTAGATTAAGTAAATTCTTTACTGTGAGGATGGTGAGGATGGCAACTTCTAGTTGCCTCAATTGCAGATGCAACATCTCTGGAAGTGTTGAGAGTCAGACTGGACTTCAAACAACCTGGTCTAGTGAAAGATGTCCCTGCCTATGGCAGAGGGGTTGGAACTGGATCGTCTTTAGGGACTTCCAGCCCAAACCTTCTATGATTCTAAATCCCTTAAGCTGATCATATCAACATATCACATTCTTGCCGGATCATGGGTGGCCTTAGTGGGTCAGGAGGGAGAGAACAGTGAGAGAAGAATGACAGGATGGATGTAGAAGCACTGAAATCTACTATAATTTCCAGTAAAATTTCAAGGAACAGAAGAAGCTCCACTGATTTATGTTCAGCTATTCACATGTATAGCATTGCAGATAGAGTCATCATTTGATCCTCTGATTCCTGTTAGTCAGCAGAGAAAGGGGAAAATAAGAAAGTGGAGATAATGAAGAATTGGAGGTTATAGGGTATAGGCAGAAAGACTGATAATTCCTTATGGATGTGGAGTCTAGGTAAATCTGTTGTCATGACATAAGAGGAAATTAATATACTTAACATGCTGAACAATCAATATTACTTGATTTATGGAAATTCCATGCATTTCTCTCTCTTTGACAGGTCATTGGGAATTCTACACTGAACCTGTGCCCTTGAATATTTACTGCTTTTTTACTGTCTGCTCTCCTGCTTTGCTCTTTATTAAATGTTCCTTTCTTGACTTATATATTAATATAAAATATTTGCTGTATTAAATGTGAAAGCTGCATCCTAAATCTTTTAAGGGGCTAAATGAATTTAAAACTATTACTTGCCTTCCTATTTATGTGAAGAGAACTTACCCAAAATGAAACATAAACTAGCAGAGATTACCTGTTCAATCCACAAGCAAAATTTTGACAAAAAGTTTAAAAAATTACAAGTTACTTTAACAGTTTCATTTCTGTTGAATCTTTTCATATTTGTACTTACAGTAGGAATATACTTTGTTGTTTTTAGGTTTCAAGTCAATCTGTTCCTGGCCCTGACTTTGTCACAGACCAGAATATGCTAAGTACGGTTTATGAAGTTATTCGGCACATTCCTGAGCAGCCACAACAAGACCACCAGCAGTAAGTTACAGACTGTGTTCACTCACATGGTAGCTGGAAGACAAATACTTTTGCATCCAGAACAATTTACATTTTGGTGGCTGTTTTTGGATTCCACTGGGAGGGTTATGGAAGGAAAGATACCTTAATTCCTCCACCATTTACTTTCCAATCCCCCACTTTTCCTCAAGTCTCTGGTCTGTGTTTTGTTACGCCAGTTTTGTTAAAGTGTAAAAAACAAAAGGTAAGATCTTCAAGCACAGCTTCAAATGAAAATTCCAACTTTATTTAATAGGGCACTGAAACATCAGCACTTCCTACTGAATTTGTTAAATATTCAATCAAAGAAATTTAATTGGTAGCATGGCCTCCAGACCCCTCAGCCATGTGCCAGGGAGCGTTAGGGTGGGTTTTTTCGCAATGTTGAAAATGGTCAGCTGAATAATTATCAGTGGTTGTTAAAATTGTCACTGATTTCTAACAGACTAGTACTTGAGTAAGCAGTGTCTCTATCGCAAAAGAATTCTTGTTGTGTGGTGCTCTGGCTGGGAACTCCACAGAAACACTTCTGCTGAGTTAAATACCAGGAATATCACCACATGTTGTGCTTATGTGTCATAGACCTGGTTTTGTTCAAATAACCTATTATATATCACTTCCTGGCATAAGAAGGGTGAATACACTAGAGTTTCTGTAATTGTGGTATAGCTGCCATAAATCTATTGTGAATATAATCTTTCTTACAAATTAAGAACAGCACACAAGACTTTATGGTTTTTTTATGTGTTCTGTTTCTTTTATAATTGAAAAGAAAAAATACACACTCTTAACAATATGATAATCAGTTGGCTGAGTAATCACAATGTTTATGTGACTGCATTAGCATGCAGTACTTAAGGTACAAAAAATTTTGTTATATCTTAGGTTATGTCTTCAACTGTGTGTCCAAGTTATGTATGTAAACATGCAGCCATGCTTGTCAAAACAAGCTGGTCAGTGAGAAAGCAACGCTGAATTGTAAATGATGTTTTTGTTCTGCTTGGAATTTTTCACTTTGAACCCTAAGATTTTTAAAGCCAGATGTAAAAAATACCATTCATAAAGTATGTATTTTCTTACTCTTCCTCTTACACGTCTTCCTTCTCAACTTTCTCACTGGTACATGACCTCTCTGAAAAAAGGAATAAATGCAACAAAAAGGTAACTTGAACTTCGTGACAGTTCAGATTTCAACTTAAACTTTGCAAAACATATTCTGTACTTGTAAAGAACTCATTTTCATAAACCAATTTTTCTGTTCTTTTCATATTTCATATTTTGCAAAGAAAACAGGAAAAAGTTTTCACTAATAGCACAAAATCTGCTAAGCATGATACTGGGCAAACTACTCAAATCATGAGGAATTCATGAATTTTCCAGTTCCTGACCTGCTGAGAAGGAGCACTCTGAGCGATAAATAAATGACTTAAGTCAATACTGGTCCTTACAGCAGGATGCTTCCATTTCAGTATAAGGGAGAAACATAGCACCACAGAACAGAGAATGAAGCTGGGAAAGTAACTGCAAACTCCTGTAGTGCAAAGTAATGATTACTTATGGATAAATCCCACAGACTCATCATGCAGTCATCTGTACAATAATCAGCAATATTCACTGGAAAAATGATAAAAACTTGCCTACACTGTGTTTATGGCAGGAATCTCTTTTTGTACAAATCAAAAGAAGAGATAGCCAAGCAGATTTGTTAGTTAAGTGGTCATTTTATTCTTATTCCCAGTTCTTCTAAATGGAACAGCTGTGATTTCACAAATTAATTAAAATAAATATGTAATATGTATGTAATATGTAAAGCAAAATCAGTCAAAAGCAATATTTAATTATCAGATTTAAAATCTGAGAATCTTTCAAATCCTTAACTTCACCAGAATTGGCTGGTGTTCTCTCTCTTGCTCTTAGAAATCCTAGTGACAGTACCAGCAAATTTGCAGACTAGCCAATGCCTAACACCTGGGAATAGTTTTTTCCACTTTTTATCATGTTTTTATCAGCCTTTTTATCCTTTCATCCACACATGCACATATGCCTCTGAGTCTAAATAATTACAAAATTTTAGATGTGGCACAGCTCTTAAAAGGTAGAAATACTACTGGAAAATAATTAAATTCTTTAAATCTCTTGGGTTTGGACTGACAGACCTATAACTTAATTTCAGTCAAAACATGAGGGAATATGGTAGCTGGCTTGGCACTTTTACATTCATAAGCTTCCATTAGTTGCTTTTCACAACAATCTTTTGCAGACTCACCTCCTCTGCTCCTCCAAAGAATCAAAGGAAAAACAAAATCAGTTTTTAAGGAAACTGTTCTGCTCCATCTCTGGGCTCCACACTCACAGGGAGTTACAGGATTGTCACTTTCTTCAGTGTTTCATTAAGCAGATTCTTTTAAGCCATTTTGGTTTGATTCTTTTCTTGCCCTTGGACATTTTTTTTAAACTAAATATGAATCCTTTGGCAAACTGAACAGGTTCTTTCACATAAAGAAGAAATCCAAAGATGTCTGCCAAAGCTAATGAGCAAGAGGTTTAGACAGCTTTTACAGATAAGCACTTAGTGCTCATAAGTGTTGCACTAAAAACTGTTTGTAACTTAAGTTTAATTTTCATTCCAAATGAAGATAATTTTACATCATCATCCTCTCCTCTGATCCATATTGTTTCTCTCATATCAATCATTAATGCTTTCACAAATTTCTGCTCTGCCAGGCTGTTAAAGAGCAGTAAGGATGCAAAGCCTTTCCAGTCATTTCAGCACAAGGTTGTACTCTGGACTGCACTGGCTCAGTCCATGGTTACCACCACCCTTTATCAGGTACATTATTGTTATACAATATGAGAAGCTTGAAATATCTGTACAGAAAGAGCAGCAATGCAGGTTGCCATATTAACCATTATGTTATTTATGGCTCAAACCTGTGCTGTCCTTTAAAAGCTAGACATACTATGCATACTAAAAATTTAGTCAAAAACCAGTGTGTTGCAAATATGTCCCCAGAGATCTTATTCAGGCTGAAGAATTGTGTTTAGAGCTGCTGCTTTGCTTACATGTTTGCAACAGTTCTTTTAAAGAAAAGAAAAACAGCATTGTGGACAAGTGTTATATATATCTATGTATATGTTCTATCCTAGATGTATATGAAGATACAGGAAGAGGAAATCAAAGCATCTGAAAATGCCAAAGCTTCTTCTTCGTTATAATATATTGAAGGAAATGCCAACAACTCCAAGAGTAGCAAAGGCTTATGCCACCTTGTCTTAAAATAGCAATTTCTCTTCAGAGTGACAATCCCTTTCCTTGGGGTGCTCCAAATTGCCCATTTCTTAATTATTTTTTCTTTTTTTAAAGTAATAATTCCTTGGAAAATATGGATAGTTTTAATTACTTTCTTTTTCCTTATCAGTGAATGCAAAGACAAAGGGATAGCTTAAAAAATGCACTATAAAACCTTTTTTTAAAAAACAATTGGCAGAGGCACAAGAAGGAATCTGGTCCAAGATGCTGTCCATGCTTGTCTTATTTAAAAAATATTAAAAATAGCAAATAGGTTTTTTTAACTGGGTTGACTTTCACAAGAGAAGACATCCATACTGGCATGAAAAGTGATAAATGCAGTATGTCAGATTGCAAAATACATTTGGGGTTTAGAATAAAGTCATTCTTTTAAGTAATTTAACGTGACATAATTTTCAAGCATAGAAACAGATCTGTCAGGCAGTTACAAAACTGTACATACATATATTATTCAGAATAATGTGTCCTCATTAAATTGTTTCCTTTGCATTTGAACTGGTTTTCTATTTGTTGCTGAATAGCCTGCTTCTCATTGACTAGGAGAGTAAGTAATATTCAACTTATTTTCAAAAGCTGCAGCAAGTTCAGGCTCTTTGTACATTAAAACAATTCTCTAGTGCAAATGAAACCAATCTTACTCTGTTTGAACAGTGTGCTACAAGTCCCTTTGCAAATAGAAGAATACTCTTCCAGAAGCTTCTGTTAGCTGGCTTCTGAATCCTGCAGGAAAATTCACTATTATTTCCACAGGGTCAGCTATTAGTTGGTGTCAGCTGCAGTCAGGGAAAAGAGGAAATATGAACTGAATTAATCTAAAGGAAAAAAAAAGTTACTTCAGGAACAGTTAATTGTGCAGAAAATCATTACTGTGAGTAATGAGAAGGGATTCAGTGTGTCCACCCTTTAAGACAGGCTGTATGGTATTATTTAAAGCACTCTTTATTATGAAAAATAATTTGCACAAATTAAAAATAACCTCCTTAATCCATATTTACTAAACATTCTTCCTGTCTCCATCTTTCAAAGACAAGGGAAAATAGCATGCTTTTAAGTGAGCATTCTGATATTGTGAGGCTGAAAAAAAAGGGAAAAAAACAACTGCACCATTGCATGTGAGGAAAATAGGATTTGGCACTTCACAGAGTCAGCACGTGAAGCCCAAATACGCAAGTAGTAGTGACATGATCTCAAAAATAGTGTATTCACCAGATTTGCTCCCTAAGAAATAGCCATCTGACATGAAGGCATCAGGCAGAGGCTCTAAGTAGAAACATTTGGGCAGAACTCTGAAAGAAAAGTTTAGAGTTCCCCATAAATTTCTCCATTGTTCAGTCAGAGCTGACTTCATGTGTATTTCAAATCAAGACAGCTCTTTGGGATTTGCAAAGTCTGATTTTCACTCTCTTTTCTCCTCTTCTTCTTGCTGGAGCAATAATTTTAATTGCTCTGAAGGGAGTGTGCTGATTTCTGATGTACTTGAGACCATTGGATGTCACTGCAGGCCACAGGGCTACAGGAAATGCAGATAAATTAAGAGAAAGTAGTTACTCCACCTCTGGACCCTCTGTATTTAAAACTGCCAGTTGTTTACATTTTTTAAGCTTTTATGGGGAAAAAAAAAAGAAGTCAGGTCAGTATGGGTTCCATTCTACATTCTTTTAAGCTCACTTAAGCCCATGCCTAAGTGCATTTTAAAGGTCCCAAAACATTTTGTTTCTGAATCTGTGCTCATGGCTCAATAACAAATGAGCAAACTGTTTTGGATTAAGCCATTTGTCAATGATGTGTGATGATTTCAGTAGCCCAATACAAAAGTGCACCTTAACAGTCTTGAACTTCTGAAAAGTGCCTGTAAAAAGAACTGTAAATTTAATAAAACAATTTTGTTTATGCATCACATAATGCCTAATAGTTCTGTGGGTTCATGCATTTTCACTGGAAAGGACACCCATCACTAGGTTTGTAAATAAAAAAAAAAACCTGCCTGTTGCAAGTAAAGTGTCCCCTAGAGGCCCTGTATGTAGGTCGTGGCTGCCACATTCCTACTCTCCACTTAAAACAAAAATTTACAGAGAAAAACCCAACAGGAAGGGAAATTTATTTTACTATAGAAAGAAGAAAAACTGGATTAAAAAAATTATTCTAGCTGTGGCAGCAGAACCAGCTCCACAAATCGGAATATGTTATTGAAATAGACAGAGGGCAAACACTGGCAAGTCATCTTCTGCTTATAATATATTGTTCTCATCTGTTTTGTTTCATTGTGTCTTGTGTATTACTGACTGTAAACCAAAAATACACTGGCATAAATTCCTATTGAAACTGTGCTCACCCTTTACTGTTCTTCCAAAATTTGCACAGTGCATTGAGCTACTTTTGGTGGGGAAATCCATTTGGTGGAGGTATAAAAAAATAAACTATAAGGAAGAAACAATTCTGAAATGTCACAGAAGCTTAATGGATGACAAAGAAAACCTTTGCATATTGTACTCTTGTCTCTTTCTCACTGGTACCACAACATTCAAAGGAGATTGATAAGCTTTTATTTACTGATGTAAAATCTATTGGGAATTTTACCAAAATGGGTGGAGTATGTGTCCATTGAACTAGATGATGTATACACTGGGTAGCTCAAATATGAGATGGGGATAATGAGAAAACAGTGTGAAATGGGACAGGGAGGAATTTTTAAAATCCTGTCTCTTTTTTTCCCCCCAATTCCTTCTGGTGGAGGTTTTTGCCATTTCATTTGCCTGCCTGATGATGAGGGTCAAGAATGGCTTTCTTTGATGAAGTGAAGCTGTGGACTTGAGATCAAAGGTAGAGAAGATAAGTGATAACTCTGGAAGTCTGAAGTGTAGGAACAGTAACAGCAGTCAGAGCACCTTCAGGCACTTGTACCATATCACAAGGTGGTGTGTAGTTCTTAGTCTTTCTTACTAATATCTTAAAAGCAATTAATAAGAATACTGAATATCAGCTTTCACCACTGCTCATATGGGAATGCTCCAATTCACACTTCATTATGGCTTTGAAATATTAATCCCTTCTTACAGGCCATCAGTCCATATTCTACAGTTCTTTTAAGTCTGCAGCAAGATCAAGGAGGCCTTGGCAGCATTAGGAGAAGCACTGCCAGCAGGCTGAGGGAGGCGACCCTTCCCCTCTGCACTGCTGAAGCCAAACCTGGAGTGCTGAGTCCAGTCAGTGCTGGGCTCTCCAGTACAAGACACCAGAGCAATCCAGAAAAGACCCACAACAATGAGGAGGATCATCTGACATACAATGGTGAGTTGAGAGAGCTGGGACCTGAAGAAGAAATACCTCAGGGAGATGTTACCAATGTTCATCATTTAAGAAAAACCTTTTATACTGTCAAGGTGGTCACAGACTTCTGCCCTGTGGAGTCTCCATCTCATCTTTGGAGATATTATAAACCCAACTGGATGCAGTCCCAGCTAATCTTCTGTAGTTGACCTTTGTACTAAATTTTGCACTGGACCATGCCATATAAGGAGACAAGCTGGGATACAAAGCTTAGAATTACAGCATAGCTCTTTTATTCATGCACATGAGGTGTCCTGTTCAAAGCAGGGCAGGCATTCAGGTGCGCATTTCACTTACTGCTGCTTAACAAACACACATTAGTATTTACTTATCATAGTAAAACTTCGCAAAGCAACTACATTTCTATGGTGTCATCATCCACCTGCTTCTCTATTGATCAGATGCACCCAGAGTCAGTCCTGATATATTTACTTATCTATAGTGACAGACGCTGGGAGGGTTTCAAGCACATGTTAGAGAGGCTAGAGTGCTGGGATTATCTTGGTTGCCCAGGAGTATATTTTATTCTTCATGGACAGTGATTAAAATTCCAAGAAGAAAAGTCCTTATCTGGGGAACCAGGTCATCCTCCTCACAATAAGATGGGGTTCTTTAGTTTGCTTGCTTAAGCATGACAGTTCAGTGTCCAATGTAAACTATACATATGTTCTAAAGAAAGTCAGTATCATTTTATATTACAAAGATTAATTGGTATAATAGATAGGGAATGAGATTTTCCTGAGATGCTGCTTTGTGCAAGAGTTGGACCAGATGATCTCAAGAGGTGCTTTCCAGTCTGACATGCTGTGATTCTGTGAGCTGGGGAGAGAAATGATTAGTAGGTAGATATCAGCAAAAACAACACTAGCAATTACAACACAGTCAGTTCATGTTATTGTAACAGGAATGTATGCTTCCATTAATCATCTCCTTAAACATGCATGGCTAGCTAAGCAAGATATGACGGCAAAATACAAGCACAATACTTTGCATGTACCTCCATCCATGCTTTACCTATAGAAAACTGAGTCTTGAAAAGGGAACACCTCATTATTTTATGATGTCAGATTAAAACACTTCTCAAAGTAGCTCTATTCTTTTTTTATTACTTTTTGCTTTACTCAGCTAAGATACAATCAGGTATTTTCTATGGACTTTCTTCAGTGTTAGCACGATTCCTTTGGAAATCTGTCACCAGTATGGTCCTATCAATGCATTTACATCATACCTTTTTCTGGGAGCTAGAGGCCAGCAGCTTCCCACAGGACATGGCAGGAGTTTCTGGGAACTATGCTGGGACAGTGAGAAGGAGAAAGGGAAAGGAGCTAATGCTAGTGAACATTAACTTTCTGACTGATGTGCAAATTGATCATGTCCCATGTGACTTGTACATTTCAAGGGGGACTGTTTCCTCAATGCTGTGTCCTGCAAGAGGCTTCCTGACTAAAAGAAGCTACTTTCTAGGCAGATAAATGTTTGTATTGAGAATACTTTTGCATCCAACCAAGTATTTTTTTTAGTGCCCTTGAACAGTCAGTCATGATGTATTTTTGAGTATATTCTCTACTCACACACAAAAAACTTCAGAATGTTGTTCATTGGCATCTTCTAAAAACTTCAGTGTTCAGTACCCAATTTTAACACTGGCTGACAATATAAAAGTGCATGTCAGTTTGTACAGAAATGCTTTTCTCAACAAGTAGTCCTTCATAAAGACTCGCGAGTGTATGAAATGAGCCCAGCTCTTCCAAAAGAGCTTCTGTCACTGCCTTTCTGTGGAGACTGCCTTTTCTTTTGTAGAAAGAGACAGAACTGTGGCAGAAGTTTCCAAACACTTAATAGACAGATTTTAAGGATAAGAAATTAAACTGATGCAGCCTTGCAATGGAAAATGACAGTTGTGCTGTGTCATAAAATAATGAGGAAATAAAAGCAGAGGATCATTTCTTGATTAGAATCTGTGGTAAATATACAACAGACAAGAAGCAAAGAAGACAAATAAAGGATAAGATGTCTAAGGAGTATATAATTCGAGTATAAATCTGTATCGCAGTTCAGTTAAACATGAAATGCAAATACCAGCATGTTGGAAATCCTGCTCCACCTAAAAAGATAATATGTATGTATCTCCTCAGGCTATGTGCTGTGTTCCAGGACAAAGTACAAACTGCTGGTCACAGCAGATCTTGTGACTCAGATACAATTAAATGTACAACTATTAGGGCAGGGCTTCTAGAGTACCTCGTTGCAATAGCATACCCCAACCAAATATAACATGTTCTTATTTAGGAAAATACTGTCCAATGTCAACACTGATACCTTCATCAAGCTACAACTTTTATATTGTAGGGCTAAAAAGTAGCTTCTATATAACATTTTTTCATCTTATTAGTAATGGCATAAGGATGTCTTGCAAATTCAAGACAAACACTTATAGAGACAATAAAAACTGTGTTGGGCATCTTTCATATATTTTTCTTAGAGTGACATTTTCTTCTTTAACTTCAGCTTGCTGATTTTTTGTACACTGATTTATCAAATCATATTAAATTCAAAACTTGGTTTTCAATCACTTTTCAAGCCCTTTAAGTCTGTCACACTTAGTCTTATCCACAAACTGTACATAAAAGTACAGAAAATTCCAAGTACATTCAAAAATTCTGGATCTCTATTCTAAACAGCTGGCTGGGACACTGAAAAAAAAACTAGATTCCATTTGAAACCCTTTCCAAGTGTGTCTGAAAGATACAGCCAAATGCAGAAAGCCCTTAGAAGCAAAATAAATGAGGAAAAAATGTTTAGAACTGGTCTAAGAAACATTTTATCTTCCAGATCCTTCCACACTGGGGTGAGCATCCTGTCCCCTACCAACCTCTGCCATTCAGGGGAGCCCAAGGAAATCCAACAAGTTTGAGAAAGTGTGGCAGCTGTGACAGGAAGGAGGAATGGTGGAAAGATCAAAAGGGGGAAGGGAAGGGAAGGGAAGGGAAGGGAAGGGGATACTTCTTGGGCTGAAGACTCTCAAGATTGCAGCCAGAGCAGGTACAATAGGACTCATGAGGTAAGACAGAACAAGGAAATTTTCAAGAAAAAAGAAAATAGAGGAGGATAAAATGTCTTCTAATAGATAAAGGGCTTCTGCAAAGAAGTGGATAAAAAGGAAGGTAGAAAAATATTCTCCATGCCCAAGCTGGCCATGGAGTGAGAGTAAAAATGTATCACAGGAAAGGTATACCACAATAATAAAAAAAAAGGTATCAGTAAAAGTGATAGACTGGATATTCCTTGGGAAAGCATCCCCAAAGGACATCTCCTTTGCTTTTCAACACCAGAGGATATCCTCTTAGAGGCAGAACTGAAAGTTGTACAAAGAATGTGCCTATGAAAATGTAACTTAGTGTCCAAGTACATGGCAAGAGCATGCATTTTCTCTTCAGAAGCTGTTGTGATTACAGACTGTGACAATCTTGTCACCAGGACCTCTAAAACTCCAGCTACCCACTTCAAGATTTGAGCATATTTCTTCAAGAGTATAATATTTGAGTAATGCATGTTGATATTTTAATGGATATTTCTTTACAATGACTATCTACACAATAAGAAAAACCCTCTTTTCATAAACTTTAGGTGGGTAGACACATTCACCACAAATATTATCTGTAATGCCTGAACTGAAATCTCAGGTCAGTTACTAAGTCCCCATGTGACATAAGGGAAACAATTTTATACCGATATTTCCATTTGTGAAATTAAACTTATTAATATTTACTCATATTACCAATGTAACAATAGCTCAGTATATTTATGTTAAAATTTTACACATTGGCTGCCTAGTCCTCCCCTCACCTCTGCCTGGTGCAGCAAGCAGCATTTCTAGTAGTCACACTTCACACTTCTATTTCAAACCAAAATTGTGTGGCCCAAGATTTTCTATAGAACAAGTTTAATTCTGCTTATTTATGGGCTCCTGGGCCTTTTTCTCATACAAATGTGTACAGGACTTAAAATATTCGGGGTCTGAGATAACCTGGTGCGTGCACGGGAGAAGGCCGGGGGAGTTTGATGGCGCTGGGTGTCCGGCAGGGGGCGCTGCTGCCCCGCGCCATGGCGGGCCCGAGGCGCGGCCTTCACAGTCTTTCACAAAGAAGCACCGGCAAGAAGAGAAATGTTTTACTCGGGTCGTAGAGCCTTGCAGAACTGTGCTCCAATGTATGGCTGAAGGGGTGCTGATGGCGAGACTGTCACAGTCTGTAAGCACAATGGCCTCTGGAGAGGAAAGACGCGCTCGTGCCACGCACTTTGGTCGCTGCAGCCAAGAGAGCCTTGGGCCTGCGAGAGACGGATGTGGGGAACGCCGTCCCCACGGGGGAGAGCCACAGCCGTGGGGAAATGCTCCAGAAGCTGCACAGGGGCAACTGCGAGCGAAATCGGTCCTGGGCTGGACTGGGCCCTCCCTTCCCGACCGCTTCGCGAGCCCGTGCGAGAGTAACTCGCGGTGGTACCCAGGGACGTGGAGCTGTGTGACACCTGTGCCAGGGCCGCGGCAGATGTCCCTCTCCATCGCTGCCACCGTTCGGGCAAATGCTGAACGGGAGCACCAGAGACCGACAGGGCTGCGACGAATGACATGGACTTTGTCCGAGCACAAACATCCGTGTTGGGAAGCCTCACACGGGGCCTGACCCAGGTGTCACTGTGGCAAGAGTTAATGCATCCTGAGCGATGAGAGTGTCTGGGCTCAGCTGGAGGGACTTGCCTTGTCCAAAGGGAACGTGGAGAGCCAGCAGCACACCACGAGGAGTTTCTCACTGGGCTGATTCCAGCCAGAAGCATCAACCCACCCTTCAGTGAAAGGACTGCTGGCTGTGACAAATCCATATTGCTTATTTAAGGAGTCCGCTGCAGAAAGCTTTTTCTGGTTTCCATTTGCCAATTGGAACCACAAATGTTCGCTTTATGTAACCTGTCACAAGATTACTTTTGACTTCTCCTTTGTAGGCCCTTACTTGTTTCTGGCTGTTGCTTAAGAGCTCAGAATAAAAACCATTCTTTTTCCTACTCAGCAGCTGCGTTCCCTGAGAGCAGCTCAGGGCTCCACCACTTCCTGCTGAGCCAAATTGTAGCACCAGCTTCAGTGCAGCTATGGTTGCACTGGGAGAGGTCTGGCTTCACAGCATATGAATACTAAAAGAGAAAGTTACAATAGCAAAGAACATAGTAACAGTTATGAATTAATAATCATAATAAGAAGTGAGGAAGAAGTGAGACCTGGTTTTGTGCTAATTTCCCACTGTCTTCAATGATAACTCCTGTGTGTAAGTCTTGTAACTACGGGAAATGAGAAAAGAGCACGAAGTGGTTTAGTACAAGCAGTCAAGTGTGTGTGTGCGCCAATGAAAGAAAACCTAGCAAGAGTTAAAAAACATACCTCAGACATGAGCTACCACCTCATGACAGACTGCCCAGTGGACTGCAGAGAACAGAAACAAGAAAAAGCATCTGAGATACTTTATGAAACTCCTGTTGGCATCAATGCATAGATTTCAAGATAATACGATCAGTGGTGATGATCATTTGTGAGTTACATGTTAGTATATGGACCTGCTCTCCCAAAAGGCCAAGCTGAAGGCAAAGATAGAGCAGGAATGAGTCTGGTTAATAGGGAGGGTGTTTTAAAGTCCTGCATGGTGAAGCTGGTTTTAACTAGTCTTGCAAGTAGTGTTTTTATATTATTACAACTAAACTTTATGGTTAAATTTCTTCAATCTGCAGTTGCCATGAAAAGACCAGTAGCAAAATAAATAAAATAAGCATAATAGCAAAGAAAAACCATCTTTTTTGAGAACAAGCTGAAATGTCAAAGTTTTAGGGTGTACAGTGTGCTGATAAGATACACTGTTGTGTGAACTTTCCCTCCCAGAGCCATCCATCTTTATTATCAGAGCCTGGAGATGGTTCTGTGTCAACTTTGCATCTGCATCAGTAACTCATTCTGTTCAGCCATCTGTTCCACAGACATCAAACTGTTAAGAAGCCCCAGTACGGCACAATCTAGTCCAGTAACACAGAAACAGAAAAGAAAAGATCTCATTACCATTTGAATTCACAGGCTCTCCTGCGATACACATACAATATTTTCTTATATTGACATGAACATGGTAATTTGGTAAGTAAATCCTCTGTTATAACAAAGAAATTAAAATCAAACACTTAATATGCACCAGCTTTATTCAGAGGCAAAATAGTTATTAAGTTAAACTAAGATTTAAGATAGTTGTTTCTCATTTTGCAGACAAAAACAGAATTAAGAAAACACTCATGTTAACCAGGATGTTAACTATTGCTCATTTTAACTTCTGAAGATTTCACCACTAATTTATAGTCAAAATGAAATAGGCATTTAAAAGCTAAGGTCTCAGAAGAAAATTATGACAGCGGATTGCTGACAGTGCAATTTGAGATTTCTTGGTTTCTTTCTATTTATTCAAGTCCATATATGATTGAAACTTAGTATTTTAAAATTTTGATTTCCCATGTTGTCTTTCTAAATTAATATGTCCCAAGAGCTTTTAAAGTTCTATCTGCCTAATTCAGTGGCTTTTGATACTTTTTTCCTAGGTTTTTTAGTACTATAGAGCTAGGATAATTAAAGGCCAGAGAGCTGGATTCCATTCTGGCCTGTAAATCTTCAACAGAACTGGTGCTGGACTTTCAATAACAAAATCATTATTGTGAATGATTACTGAGCCAGAGAAAACCATTGATTGACATTCAGATTCTTAACTGAATTTGCAGATGCTGCGAAGTGAGATTTGGTGGGAGGTCTGTGAGTCATTGAGACAGGATCTTAGTCTCACAGTTTTAGAGAGCTCTCCTTCAGAGACGCACTGCACTCCAGCATTGCTTTTGGGTTTGGGGAGACAGGGACTGAAGAATCATGCACAAGCAACATGCTCAAGCCTCGTTCAAAGGAACATGAATGCTGTGTTTAAAACAGTAATCCCTTTCGCTAATTAACGTGTGATCTGATTGGTAAATTAGCCTCTATGAAGTTTTTGCTACCACAGCTCAAGTATTTTGAGAACCTAAGGGCTTTTATTTTTAAAATGAACTCTCCCAGGCAAGAGGCAAGGATACATTTGACCCACTTTTGACTCTTAAAAAATTATGAAATGTAATTAATTATCTGTTGTGACATGGTCTCCAATGAAGAGCTGGATATACAGCCTGATACAGCTTGGGACTGTGCAGCAGGCATGCCATTAGATACACTATACTCTAAGCCATGTGTTAAATCTATTATGTTCTAAAGATTTAATACAACCTTTTTGTTTTTACACAACACTCTGATCTACTCATATTTTTAGTGCACAGAGCCTGTCTTTGGAGCTGAAACTTGCTCAGTCTTGTGGTATAGCTTTCATTTCACCTCTATCTTTGTTTTATATAACTCCCTACACTGTCTCTGGGGAAGAAATACACCAGACTTGTGTCCCCCAACAGAGCTGTGGTCTCTAAGGAAACTCGTGCATTAATTAAGGAATAGTATAATGGGTATGGTTTTGTTTTGTTAACCAGTGCCCCAAGGAGCATCGTTTCACTTACGTATTTTACCCCCTCCCCCCACTAGCAAATATCAGCATATTTCTGTTAACCACTCTGTGGCTATGTTCAAAGCAATACTTACGAGATAAAATTTTGTCTTTTGAAATAGCAAGCAAACTGGCACATGAATTTAATTTCTGTAGTAACTTGGCACTGCCTTCTCTGGTTGCTGGTTGTTGGCCTCCCCCTCAAAATGTTCTAGTATTGAAGCCAACATCCATGGCCACACACTGGGTGTGCTTGGCAGCTGCAGGGCCCAGATGCCAACCACTGGAATGCATTTTACGTACCAGTGTCTCTGCCTGTGGCTTGGTTTCTTGGCCAGCCTTTAGCAAAGTCTCTTCTCTGGACTCATCTGACTCCAGCGCCTGCTGCTCTTGCAGCTGTGGAACTGAAGCAAAAGCAATTTACAGAAGATCTGTCTCACCGTTCCAGGAACCGCTTGCCTGCACCATCTCCCAGCAAGATACATACACTGAGTGCTTTTTTAGCATGTGAAAGAAAGATGTCCCACTTGCCTGTACTTATTGTGGAGGACCAAGTGTATAGATTGAGAGGGGTCTGAAAGGACAGAGCACCCTGGTAAACCTGACAGACACCACTGAAATCAACTTTTTAATGTCTTGGAATTTCTGTATCAAATGTCTATTTCAAGCTTCTTTTAGCTAAGGCCCCTGAAATGTACAGTATTGGCTCAGTATAAGGCAGGCAGGAAGGCAGGCAGCAAAGAAGGAAGGCAGGCAGCAAGGAAGGCAGGAAGGCAGGAAGGCAGGCAGGAAGGAAGGAAGGCAGGAAGGAAGGCAGGCAGGCAGGCAGGCAGGCAGGAAGGCAGGAAGGCAGGAAGGAAGGAAGGAAGGAAGGAAGGAAGGAAGGAAGGAAGGAAGGAAACAGCTTATTTCTCTAAGTTGTTTACTGAGTAGCTTTTTGTAGAATAGTTATTAATGTTTTATATTTTGTAGTATTTCCAATCTTAATGCTTTCATTGTAGCATTCCACTGAGGTTTCTTTGCTACCCTCCAGACTTCCATACTTGCCTGGAAAGCTGGCAGCTCTCTAATGATGTGCCAAGCTGAACACTGGAGGTGTGTTTTGCTACACGCCCACAATACAGAAATTGCCTTAGCTGGATTGCTTGCCTCTGACTGCACTAGAAAGACACACAGCTTCTGGTAAGAAGCTGCAGTAACAAAATGTGGATTTATCAAATACTGAAACACTCATCAAGTTGATACTGAATTGCAACCATTGACTGAATTACTTTTAAGTATCTACAACACTACAGAAATTAATTTTACACCCTTAATTTGCACTTGCTTTGGTATGTACAAGGGTAAATTCATTGAAGGATAATCTCAACTCCCCAGGTTGTATTTAAGAATAGCTGCAACATGAGAAAGTGGACAATTAGTTCCCCCTTTGAATTGTATTTAAGAACAATTACATTGACAGTAGAAGAACACATCTAGTACAGACATTTTGGGATCACATGTGCACACACAGGATTTAAAAGATGTACAAGATATTACTACATGGTCATCTGGGAGCTGTTCTTTAGGGAAAAAATAAATATATGTTATGGTCTTAAAATAAGATTGTTCAAAAATATAACCAATTATTATGGAACTGATTATTTTCTGCCTTAGCAGTGATACAACTATGTCTTGTAGCCATATTTACTTTAGTGCTGTTTCCTGTTGGCATTGGTGCCACTGGGAGCACCATTATCTACTGGTGGTGTAAGCCATCTTGGTGCAGATTTCTCAGCATACTTTTTTCAGTGACTTTTTTTAAAAAATAGCATTAAAATATAAAAATTGGTTAGGACTCTCTAATATTTATTCTAGGTGAGAGTTTCTCTCTTGATGGAGGAAAAAATAGTCATATGATTCAGTACAAGCATTGGTAAAAGAGAGAAAAGGTGCAGTAAAATGGCAAGAAGCTAGTGAAAACTTCAAGGGGAAATAAGAAAAAGTACAAACATGACAACATAGAGAATTCAGTGTATGTGTAGGTAAGCCAAGGAAATAAAACTACTTGTGCAGGTTGATGTGCTGTAAATCTGCTCAGAAAACCTGTATATTATTACAAACCAAAAGAATATCTACTCCAATTTTAACACTAATTTAAAAGCAAGCAATATATTAAGTCACTCTGAGAAAAGCATTGGAAATAATTTTCGAGCAATTGAGTTTAGGCAGAAGAGATATCAGAAGAGAAGGTGATGTAGAGAAAATCAATCAGGCATCTGTATTTTGCTTCTTATATTCCAAAGAGTATATATGGTCAAATCAATAACAAAGAAGGAATATTAGTGTGTGGTGTTTTCTATAAAGTGAATGCCTGAAGCATGCTACTGGAATACCTGCTGAGGCAGTAAGCCATGCAGGTTTTTTTGTAAAAATGGTTCAAACATTTATTTGCTTCATATAGATGTTTTCTATGAGGTCAGGCAGGACAAAATCCATCAGATGTATCTACCTTTGTAAGAAACACAGAAGCTAGTTATGGGGTATATTAGTCAGAAAGGTCTGTTATGACACAGCTCTCAATTATCAGAGTTCTCCTATAATTTGATTTTCACTATATATAAGTATATTGCGATTATTGTGAACCTGTTTATCTGGACTTACATTACACACTTTCTCTTGATTTTAATGCCTGTAAAAGAAAAATATAGATCTATATGAACATAAACTTCTTTTCACTTGGTAAAAATGATCTCAATATAATATTACTTGAGGCGGCATTAAGTCTGCTTGAAGTTTGTGCCAATTGGTTGCCCAATCATTTCCCTTTGACAAGAAGAATAAAATAAATAAAAAAACTGAACAGTGAATAATCTCAGGGAACATTTTTAATTACTCCCCAGTGACAGAAGAGTCAGACCTTTCATTATATAAGCTTGTTGTGGTTCAACAGTCATAGGTTTCCTCTCACTTTGGTATTTCAGCTTTTTTATTCTTAGCTGCATCTTTTCATGCACAGAGGCATTTGACACATGGTCCAAAGTACTTTAAGCAGGAGAAAGGAAATGGAGAATTTGTAGAGATATTATAGATGTTACAGAGAAAGGTTAGATTGCAGGTATAGTCTCTTAATTTCTGATATTAAGAGAGCTCAACTCATAAGCAGACTTATTTAATATTTTAAACATAAACTTCTGAGGAGTTGATATTCATGTTTCAGTGAGGAGTACCATGACATCATGTCATGAATGAGTTAGAAAACAGTTTCCTTGCTGATGAGAGCCACTGTAATGTTCAGGATGACATTTTCTGACTAGCATTTAGAATGGAAGCCTAGACTCAAATAGCAAATTGATATTACAGTATTTCAACACGTCCAAACGAGCTTATCTTCACTTCCGGTAGTATTGTAACACTCCTTTGTTTACAGTGTTGAATTTTCAGTAATGTGAAGCAGTCTTTCCATTCATACATTTGAAAAAATAAAACAAAATCCTACTAACATGAAATGGTAGAATGAAAACTTCAGGGTGTCCTTGCACTATTTTCACTTCTGTGAAGGTGCATTACTTCAGTGAAAGCAATCCTGCTTTCATGCTAGTTTTCCTCCTTTGAATTAGAAAGACTAGAAAAAACAGGCAGTGCATTTCAACTATATATAATAAAAATCAAAGTGGATATATCTCTTTTTCATATCTCTTTTTCATACAAATTATTGAGGCATACAGTACTGTTCATATTTGAAGGTGAACGTTCTTGTTTCTTCTGCATGAACGTCAAGGATCCCAGATTGCCTTCTATTACAGTTAAATTTTCTTGTGACCCCTAGACAAATTCTCCTTCCCCAGTAAACTGCACAGGTATCCATAAGCAGTTGCATATTCATGCAATGTAGATGTAAATATTCATAGATACTGTATATGTGATGTACCTACATATACAGTTTCCCACAATGAAGATAGATACTGTGTGTACATATAGTATTATCTTCATTGATGTGTGTACAATATCTTAGTGCTATTAGCTAGTATGGACAGAACATAATCTGTAAATTGTGTAATGAAGGGATGGTATTACATGGTGAATATGAAATTTGTTGGACTTAAAGCACAGCCAGTTGCAGCAGGACAGCTTGGATCCATCTCCTGTTTCTTGGAGGCAGCAACAGCGGTGGGAGTAAATCTTCTGACAAGTCTCAGCAGACAAAGATTTTGTTCCCATTCCTTCTGTTTCATCCCTGCTCATTTTCCTCCACACTACTTAGACAAATTACTAGTTTCTCACCTTGTCATTCTATCTATTCCTGCCCTGAACCTTAACTGGTTTTTCATATTCTCTAATATTCTTACCCTGGAACTTTCTGCTGAGCGTACATGTGTGCACATGTACAACTGCCAGAAATGTTCCTTTATATTTATTACATTATTGAACCTTTGAGATAAAATGCCTGTTAAAATGAAGGGGCCTCATCTAAGTGAAGTCTTTTAGAGCCCAGCATGGGTTTTACAGCTCACAGGAGCATGCAGTCTGACCCTCTTTTTCTTCTTTCATGGAGGAGCATTGCCTAGCAATTGGTGGTTTTGTTTACTGGAGTTCACATCTCACAAAGCAGTTCAAAACAGAATGAAAAGGAAACTAATGTGCTAGCAGAGAAAAGAATATGAAGAAGTTAAATAGTTAATTCTTAGTAGGCACAAATCACATTTCCATCAAGTGCATGCAGTCAGCTGTTATTGTAGGTCACTAAGATACAATGAATTATTTTCTGCAGTTCGTGGAAAACATTAGGCAGCTGTAATAAAGTCAATGGTATTTCCTTCCTTACTGAAACATTACTTCAGCAAATCCCCCTGTTTTGTAAAAACACCATTTCATGCTTGATAAAATTTCATTGATTTCTTCTTTTATATTTTTTTTTTTATTTCTTTTACTGATTGCTTCAGATAGAGAAAACACTGGAGGAAAAATATCAGAAGTGACCTTTCATGTTCTGATGGATGACAATTGATCTAAATTAAAAAGATTGTAAACGGAAGGGGGAAGGGAGTACTTCAGTGGCCTTTATATAACATAGATATTCAGTCCAGGAAACATGCCACAACATTAATGTCTTTTTAAGACATTAAAGCTTAGCTTAAGCAACAGCTAGAGTATTTATACCATAGTTCACCACATTTGTTCTTCCTTACATATTTATCCACAGTTTATCTGTAGTAACTTACAAAGTTATATTTTCAAATTGTATCTTGCTTTATAAGTGTCTATTTAAATCTTGAATAAAGTATCATTAATAAATCCCTTTTGACCAGATAGTAATACATCTTTTATTCTTATTTTCTTGAAGATCTGATGAACATGAACAATTGAAGGGTTCCTTGAAGTTCTGAACAAATCAAACAAGTGGTGGTAAATTTTCTTTTGGGACCACTAATCAGTGGCAAATATCTCACAACATATGAAATGGAGAATAGACCTTGACTGTACGTATGCAAAATCTGTTCAGCCAGCTGGTTGTGCATTATCAGGAAACACTTTTACTTTCTACAGGGAAACAGCAGCCTCAGTGTTTTAAAAATATGCACTGTCCTATGCATTGGCTCACAAACAGTAGCAGCTGGATCTCAAGTTAGGTACCCACACTTTAGTAAGGAAACTAACACTACAGCAGAGGAATGAGAGAAATGCAGGAATTAGTAAGGGTTAGAGGGGCATTTTTGGATGAGAGGTTATAGCATTTTCACTAGCTGGACAGGAACACAGCTTGGATAAAACCTGCAAGGACTTTTGTGAAATGTTGTATTAACAATTTCATACTCACTTTTCTTAACAACACTGTATTAATAAGATAGAGTTTAATTCCCCTCATCTCTTTCAAACTATTTTATCTACCTCAAATATATGTCCAACTGAATATGACTTTAAAAATGCCAGATCAGAAGGCAAGTCTTCCTGAAAATTCAGGAACAGTATCCTTGATCCTGGAGAGCTAGTGATATTTTATAAAAGTTTTTAAAACCAACATTTCTGAAGTTGACAGATGCTGGCCCTCTCTTAAGAGGGATTGGCTAATTTAGAATATATAAAAAAATGGTGAATCATGCTGTGAATTCTGGATTAGACATGCATCAGAAGCAGCAGTGAATTATGGGTGTATCAGTGTATGTATCATATTTAGATATATTTTCTTCTGGTCTTTGTACTCGGTGCTGAAATATTCATTCCCTATTACCAGAGTTCTGTTCATGTTTATGGAAAGTGAGAGTAGTAAGTGGCTCGCTCTATGTTTGTGCTACTTTCTGTGTGCAGCTCCTCATCTATTGCATATTTTACAGGGCCTTGAATGTAAATGTGATGAAGTTTGCAAATCTTTTCTGCTCTTTTTTTCTACACACTATTTGATTTCTTACTACCTCATTGAGCATTGTATATATGAATATAGCCTGCTGTAGTTTCTTCAAAAGAGCTGATCATTGGACTGTTCATCTGCCAGTAAAGTAACCAGCTCAAATGAACTGACCAGTTTTAAGGTTGGAGAACTAATAGGAGCAGACTTGAGCCTAGTATGGGGGTCTGAATGGACATACACAAACTCTGCTCTACCCTAAAGCAAGCTGACAAAGCTTGACAAAGCTGTGCCTTGGTAATACATTAATGCATTAACAATACAAAAGACTGCTTATCTTTACCAAACATTTCCAGAATATAGGTAAGGGGTTGCTAGTCAACTACTTAGTTAAGCCAACATGGAAATTATCTGACCTTTATTACCATTTGCCTTCCACCACTTACATTCTAGAAATTATTTTTCTTATTCTCTATGGTCCCTACCCGCTATGCCATAGCTTTAGCACCAAGCAAACCCACAAAAAGCTGAGCAATTTTTTTCTATAGAAGAAAAATGCTATTAAGTAATATGTAACAAACTTTAAATAATAGGTTTGCAGCTTGTCTTAACTAACTTTATTTGCCAAGAGGCGTGCCTCCATTCTTATACTGAGAGCATTTTGATGTCAGAGCCTTATCTTTCCTGCAGTTAAACTGAGAAACTCATTGTCTTGTCAAGGTTAAGATCACTAGAGGTCATTGGATTATACAGTCTAATCAGTATATCACTGATATAGGAAGGCCAAAGGCTTTTTGCTCCTTCACCACTGTTTTCTCTCTTGTCTTCAGCCAAACCACGTACTCTAAAACCTGATTGTTCTTCAAGCAGATTTCTCAATTTCCCTTAATAGTTTCCTCCCTGTTTAGCTACCACCAATGCATATTTTTCTTATTCTGCTTCTTCATTCTAATAAGTAATTTTTCAGGTAATCTAACATTTTCCATCTGATTTTTTTTTCCCCAGTCAGAAGGTGGTTTTGTCATGTCTTCTTCTATGTATATTTTCTGTGTGATATAACTAAGCTCTAATCTGGGAAGTATAAGAGGACATGCATTCTTTTACTAGCTGTCTGTAGCTGTTTTCACATTAAATGCCTTTAGAAGCAATCCTTATGACTGGTCTTGGTTTTAGGGGTAAGCAAATTATAAAAGTTAATTTACACCATTTTAAAAAATAGCCTCTAGCAAATACTTCGTGCTTAGAGCAACAAATATGAAATGAGCCTTTGTACAGATATGTTGGATTCCTAATTTTATTTATTCCTTAAAGAATAATACAACCCAAATATACACACACACATACACTTCATTGTGCTTCAACAAAATGCAAAATGCAAAATTCAAAATGTTCCACCCCTGCTTACTCAGGGGCAGCCTGAAGTGGTTTCTTCTTCAGTCACCCTACCTACAGGGATATTGATATTACTGTACTGTTATTTTAGTAATGGGTAAGCAGCGGTAGCTCCAACTGCACAAAACACCTTTAAAATGGATTCTATATAGAACTTAATCACACAAGATCACCATACGCAGTAAAAAACAGTAGTCATTTTTCAGGAGTTCACCCACAAAAATCAGCTGTTAGGCTGGAGGTCCCAATACTTCACCTCACTTGGGTTGTGGAGGTTGGGTTTTAAATTCTCCATTTTCAGTTTCTTACATACCTGGACAGTCTCCTAGGGTTTCCTAGCAGCTAGTGAAGAGACAGCCCTCTCTGAGGAGTCAAAGCGTGGTCAGTCACCATTCTGCTGTCATCAGCTTCTAAATCCTCTCCTCTCATCCAGTTCTTGCTTACAAGAAGAAAAACACAAATCTGTGGTGAGCACTGTCTTTGGCAGTCGTCCTTGGCCTGTGAATGAGTCAGTTACAGCTCCAGTCAGTCACATCATTGCAGATCTGATACTGGAGTAGCTGGAAGTGAATGTCCTCTGGAAAGCCAAAGAGAGAGTGACAAATGCCAGAGTTGGTATTTGTGGTCAATACTCCTTCAGGCAGTTTGTTATCAGCAGTGTAAGGTCGTTTGGTCTAACGAGTCATTGTGATGATTATTTAAACAAAAGAGAGAAACAGCATGTCCCAGGTGTAGGGACAGACCATGCAAACAAGGTGTTTTGCTAGAATCAGTGAACCCTCCCCCTCACACACAGCCCTGCAGTCAACTCTAAAGGCATCAGAAGGCCTGTCAGCCAGGATAAATGCATTCAGCAAATCTAAACAGAAGGTGATCATCATCCAAAAGCAATAATAACCTAAGGACTTCCAGAGAGCCAGAAAGTCTTTATTATTTCAATTGTTCCTAGGACAGGATGTTGACTATTCAACAAAAACAAAAGAATAATATGTCTTCCTCCCACCTCCCCCACAAAAGGCAATCAAGGTTAAAAGTATGCTTGGGTAGGAATTAAAAATTTTAATATTCCTAAAGCCAAAAAGTTTACTGTGGAAACTTTAAGAGGGATGTAATAGCCCAGGAATGTAAACATTAGTCACACTGTGAAAAGTATTTGTTTGCACCTGAAAAGAAGCTAACTTAGAATTGTGTGTTCCATCTTCTATGCAAATATTTTTTCTAGTATTTTTCCTTTTTTTTTTCCTCCTTACAGTTTCATTCTGGACATATAACATAGGGGAGAAATACTCTCATATACCAACATATAGAACAAGTACTTCAGTGTATTATCAACCATGTTGATGTCATTAGTCCTAAGAGGGCTTAGGTTAAAAAGAGAAATGTTCACAAAGAGCATAACAAATATCTATGTATATACAGAGAGAAGGAGAGATAACTTTAACATTTTAAATTTAACTTTAAATTAACTTTAATTAACTTTAACATTTGTGTGTCCTAAAACTAGGAATCAATCATGCCTCTTGGCTGAAAGGCTGAATGCTTAATCTTGAATATAGGCCCCATCAGACGGTTTAACTTTTGGATACTCTCCATTCGAGAGAAAAGAAGACTTAGACTATTGCTACAAGAGATGCTCCACAAACGTAGGAAGTTCTTTTCTTTGCAACATTTCCACTGGAATTTTTACACAGCTTGCCCACATCCTTTCACTGCAGCTGTACTAGGTAAGGCTTGCTCAAAGTGAAGTGAAAACCATACACCTATTTCAGCTCACATGTAGCTGCAGAAACACACTTCCTTTATTTTTCCTCTGGCTATGACTTCAACAGGACCCTCATTATCACCACTATTGTGACTATTCAGGAATGTCAGGCATGTGGATGCCATGCAACATCAAAGCACAGATGTGTCTTATCTTCTTTTTATCTGACAATTCTGTTCAGTTGCATAAATTGTGTCACTCTGCTTACACCGTACTGCAGGAGGAAGACTGGGAGTCAAAGTTCCCTTGTCACAGAGCTATTCCAAACAGTATTTGGGGAATAGGGAATCAAGTCTTGCATTTAAGAGGTGAGGATCCCACAGCTGCAGCACTGACATGCTGTAAAGAGATGGACTATCTCAAGCTAAGGGTGTGCACTGCAATGTGCTTATCCAGGCTGCAGTCTGGCACTAAGACTCTTGCACAAAGCATGGAAACTACCTCCCTTCTGCTGCAAGATTCTCATTGCGTTTTTTCCCTTACTCATACTTGTAAAGAGAAACTTATACCTAAGCTGTCCTTTCCCAACTTGGCTAACTCACCAGCCAGTGTCTCAGATGGGGTATTCAGAAATAACCCGAGCCAGGGAATTTGCCAAAACCTCCACTTGCATTCGTTATGGTCAGTGCCAAGCAACTAAAGCCTCCACTCACCTCATGTTCATCTGCATCTTCCAGTTTATTCCTACAGAAACCAGTTAAGCATTCAGATCCTCACACAAGACATTATCAGAGCTGTAAAGATGAAATGCAACAGCTTAAACTGAAGTTCTGCAGAGGTGATTACCACAGCTTATGCCTTCTGTGGACTAGGGTAAAAGATTTTCATTTTGCCATTGTAGAAGTATTTAAGCAACAAGAAATAAAGAGCTTTTGCACATGCTTTTTCACAGTTACGTACATTGCACAATGGTGTACATTGCTGAAATTTTAGTTATATGTGGGAAGTATGAGAATCTCAGCAGATGTAATGACAGAAAATAGAGAACTTAGAGATCACACAGTTTCCTTACTTCAATGAATGAACAGTTTTTAGTGTTTAGTATAAAATATAAATCAGTCAGAGATTCTTATGTTCAAAGCGCATAACAACAGTGAATCTTTTAAGAAACTGCTCATTTTCTTTCACCATGCCAATTTAAAAGTTTCCTCACAAGTATTTATCATACATCCAATATGAATCTTGGAAATAACTGCTGCAAACAAACTTGTTGGCCTGGCCTACCAAGTCTGCAATGTTTGAACTATTTTGCCTCTTTTTATGTCATCCCATCAATCTGTATGGTTCATCAAACATGCCAGCCTGTTATTTCCAGTTATCTGCTGCTCTCCAATCTGCTTTCCTCCCTTGTGTTTCCTATGTGTAGTCTTCACAGGCTTTGTTCCTCAGCTGGGTCACAGAATCTTTATTTTCTGCAAGACCTGTTTCCAGAACTGTTTCTATTTCTGTAATAAACTAAATGATTGAAAATAGCAAACATGAGGGACACTTTCTCAAAATTGGCATTGTCAAGATGTATCTGGTTTCTATTATGGCTGGTTTGCTCTTTTTTTCCTGTCTCTGTAATCTGTCCTGGCGGTCTTTTAAATAGGATACCTTCTCTGGTGTTTGTATATTATCCATGAACAAATTGTTGTTTGTTCTAGTAAATATGAAAAATAAAGAAATAGTTATTATAAATAAATATGCTACTGTACCAACCCTAGAAAATGCAAATTCAGTAATTTATATGGAATTCATAGAGAGAATAATAATTCAGAGCCTTTGGTTCTAAATGTGGTTTTACAAACTTTCCATATTACATTTAATACTGAAAGAAACCTGAGCACCACACAGGATCAGGCCTTTACATGAAATCAATTTATGTTTGGGCAAAATTGTGAGTAGAGTTAGGCCAGATACAGAGTTGGTTCTGTGGGTGGTTCTAGTTCTAGCCTGCCTGGAACAAAATTTAGAAACCATAACAATTTCTGTTAAAGGTCTTGGATTTGTCTTACAAATGTTCAAAAGCATGAAGAGTCAGCTATTTCTCTGAAATAACTAATAAATGAAGACACCATTAGCATTTCTTCCTTCTAAATATAGGTCTAGTGTAAGGCTTTCATCAACTTCATGCGAGTTAATTCTGTTGACTTCTCTAAATGACATGACTTTAAAAATCGTTATTCTATTATAGTGAAGTTATGCTAAACACTCTACAAAACTAAAATTTCTTTGAGACACATATATTACTAGTTTACTTAGTCTCTGTGTTTTTTGGTGCTAGGTGTTGACATTTATTACAGAAAATTTCATTATTTTTGCATATGATCACATTTGAAAATGTGGATATTTTCTGTGTCCATACCTCTTAAACAGTATTAATTTTCATTAATATTTTTTCTATGTGTTGTAATGTTAGTTTTTCATAGTAGATTTTTTTTAACATAAAAATTAATTACACTTCTAAAGAAAAAGGTCTTCCTTTTACATTGCACTTTAGGAAAGAAGCTGAAAAATGTGGTTGTAGCCAGATCTCTCTGGCTGTTAATTGTTGTTTGATTTGACAATGCAAAGGGAAGTCGAGAAAGATGTCTCTAAAAATCCCATGTCGTAACAGTTGGTAATTGAATTTAAGGAATCATTCTTTAATTAACTGAAGTGAAACCCATATCCCTAAAGTTCTGTGGACATCATTCTTCAGATGTAGTCAAATAAATGAAAATGGTCCCTACTTTATTCTTATGAGAATATTGAGCTGAAAGAAAATATGTGTCTTTTGTGGCTGCTGTGGAGCTGTACACATTAGAATTGAGTATGGATTATTTTTTAGTTACTTGCTTTCATTCACAAGAGCTTTGCTGTTCCTGATTGCCATCAGAAATATGCAGTCAGATTTCTGACAAAACTATCAAGAGTTTCATTTTCTGGGCAGCGCTACATGGTTTCAAACAGAGACTGAGCTAGATGAGTTTCTTCGACATTAGCCAGTTTCTTAAAACTGTGGTATTTTGTTTTTGAACAAGCATCCAGCCAACATGTCTGTTAATACACAACTCTCCTAGAATAGCATTTAGCAGCAGATACTTGCCACATATACAGCTTCATGTTTAGAGACTATTCAGCTGAGCAGGCTCTTGAACTTGGTACCCTGATACAGTTTTATCAGTCTACATATGCTTCATAAGGGCTTGCATCTTTTCCAGGCCATTTTTAGGCAAGACTGCTCTGTATTATAGTAAAATGAACTTGAAGCAAGTAGTTGAACAGTGAGCTAAGCCACAGTTGTGATGTAATCCCTTGTCACATTTTCGGTTTCAAATGTAGCATGATTATAGAGGATGAAAAAGTGTGTGGTAAGAACCTGGTGACACATATGAGTATTTTAAACAGCCATTCACTGATCAAACACTGGGATGTTAAGCATGCCTATTCTACTTCAGTGGATGATCTTCAGAGTCATTTGTATTCACAGTCACCACTGACAATAGCTACTTCCTCACACTGTTACAGAAGTACTATGTGTCTTTGTCTTTTTGGTGCTGTACAATTGCATGTAATGGTAAGCTGTCTAAAACCCAAATATTGCTAAGCTCTGTGTGCACAGGGAGGTTGGACCTGATGGCCCACTGAGATCCTTTCTAACCTTATCCACTCTATGATTCTGTGATTCTGTATAATCTTGTACCATTTCTCTCATACAGAAAATCATACTGGTATAAAAATCAGTGTCTGATTCTGCCCAGTAATCCTCATTTCAATAACTAGCCCATCTCTCCTGCGTTCCTCAGTCCATCTTCTTTCCCCATCATTCCTGGTATGAGTCCCAGCTATCAGCACCTACTTGCTTAGCTGGTCCCAATTTTTTATTATGC